TATCTGTCATATAAATTTATAGTATGAGCATTTGGATTCAACATTATCAACCAAAAAAAAAATTAACCAAGAGACATTTGGTGAGCAAACGATACACACACACACAATAATTCTCAGGCAAACAACAACAAAAACTAGGCTCAACAAATCAGACCAAGAATCGAGAATAAAAACATAAAACAACAACAACAAAATCGTCAATCATTTCATACTACTTGCACTCACTTCACGCTGCAAATATATGACTTACAATAATCAATACTCATTTACATTTAGGTGTTTCATGGCTTGTTCTTTTATAACTTTATACGTTCGTTCTTTTTGTCGCACTTTGTTTCTTCCATTTTACACATCCACCCATTCCAACAGCAAGAAATAATAATAATAATAATAATAATAATAATAATAATAATAATAATAATAAAAAAACACTGTTTCTATGCACATAAAATGAGAGATGAAAATCGAATTTTGTGAAAGTATATAAGGTAGAAATAAGAAAGAGCAATGAAAAAAAAAATCGAAATTCTACATTTGAAAATCCGTTGCATTTATTTGTATTTCAGGATTGTGGAGATTTATTCACGACGACTACAGGTTCAAGAGCGCCTCACCAAACAAATCGCGGTCGCCGTAACTCAAGCCGTTCAACCAGCTGGTGTCGCGGTTGTCATTGAAGGAGTGTAAGTAGAACATGTCGAAGTAATTAAAACCAGTAATTACGGAAAAAACACCGATAATATTCTAAAAAGAATGGTGGCCGGCGTATGTTGCAACTGTTTTCCTATTGGCTGACACCACACAGCACAGTACACTTGTAGCCAGCACGACAGCGCACGTACATTGAAATAGACACGCGGCTTGAAGTCATACAATTTGGTTGGCTGTTGTGACAAGGCTCTCTCTTTGAGTACATTTTTTTCTCTTCTCCTTCTCTGTTTCGCTTGACTTTGTCCAATTTGTTCTCTCTTTTTTTATTGAAGGGAAAATTCCGTAAAGGGTCAACATTTTATGCAATAATTCAATTTATTCAATGATCGAATTTATTGTTCTCACTTGAATCTTTTCTTTCTTCAAACACTTCGATAATTCGTACTGGAGAGAAAAAAAAATGAATTTTTTCCATTAAATATTCATTAGCCACATTTTTCCAGTTACTTTTGGTCAAATGAAATCTTTTCAACTAGGAGATTTATTTCATTTTGATTAACTTCATTTTAATGTTTCTCTTCTCATTTCCCATTTCCAGGCATATGTGTATGGTGATGCGAGGTGTTCAGAAGATCAACAGCAAAACGGTGACATCCACAATGTTGGGGGTATTTCGTGACGATCCCAAAACTCGTGAGGAATTCCTCAATCTTGTCAACACCAAGTAAACAGTACAGTAACAATTGCCTACCCAAAATAAATCAAAATGATTGACAGACAAACGCGCTGAAATCGCGCAATGATACGCAAAACATCAACAACAAAAACATTCAACGAACCATGTCCAAGATTTTAGTTAGAAGGAAAGAAAAGGGAAGAGAGAAAAAATATCAAAAAGAACAATATTTATTTATTTATTCACTAAATCTTTCGTGCAAATTACGTTCTTTTTTCTTCCTGTGTAAAAAGTATTTATCGCGTTGTTATAGATTTATTATTTCTCTTTTTTTTATAACGGTAGTCAAATGGGCACGTCATTTGTGTGTGAATGCCCTTTTTTGTATACGACTTGTTATTGTTTTGCATGTGCTTTTCGTTCTTTTTTTTTCTCGTCTTCTCGTTGTAAATCGTCGTTCGCGTCACAAACGTTACGGTTTTTATTTTCTATCAATGAACATCATTATCTGTTGTACAGGAATAAGCGCGATTTTTGTTTTTTTTATTGAAAATGAAAACACAATAACATAGTCCGATGAATTGGCAGGAAAAAAAACGATCACTTGTTTGCTTAAGATTTGAGTTTTTGTTTGTATCATTTACACTCGGTCATGTATTCAAATGGAAACAAGAGCAATGTTTTTTGGGCCATTTCTAATTCTGTGTTTTGAAAAAAAGAAATGACGATTATTTCATAAGGATGAAAAACGATTATTGAATGGCGTTTTTGAGAAAAGTCTTGCAATGAGCTATAATGACAAGAGAGCAATATGATAGCGAAAGAAGATATACTATTTTTGTGAATCAACAATCATTTCTAAATATAGGTATATATTTTTCGTGTTGTTAACAGGTAATACGAAACAAAAAATCAAACATTATGAAGTATATTTCCGAATAGTTTATTCATTGCAAATAGAGTAGAATGAGGAATAACAATGAAAAGAAATAAAGAAACACACATACACATATTTTAGATAAATAATGTATTGGAATACCAATAACAAGTAATATCACGCCGAATTTGGAAAACAAAGGGACCAACTTTGCCAATAATTTTAAGATAAATTTGACAATATGTACGAAAATTTGAACATATAAAATTGTTTACAGACAGATTTATTGTAGTTTATTATTATGGGCGACGGTCATACCGCCCCGGATGGACAGCATGCTTCTGTGTTTTCTATCACATTAGAGTATGCTGTCCGTCTGGGGCGTTATAACCGTCACTCATTATTATGGACCAAATTGTGATCGAGCTCACGGACTCGATCCCACTGTTTTACACATTGTGCCAGAGAGTGCATTTTTGCTGCTGAGCAAGTCTGAGCTGAGCCGAATTTGCTGACTCAGGCGCCTGAAGTGGTATTTCAACGCAATTACGGTGCCAAATTATCATTGCTAGTTGAAATCCACGTTGTTTATAAATTATATTGAGGCGGATACCAGCTAGCAATGACAATTTGGCACCGTAAGTGCGTTAAAATACCGCTTCAGGCGCCTGATTCAACAAATTCATCCCAGCTCAGGCCTGCTCAGCAGTAAATATGCACTCTCTGCACTGCGCCTATTTTGCATTCATTAGACCATTATTTTAAAAGATGGGAAGTTAAGCTCAAGCTCAAGCTCAGCTGAGAACAACTTTCGTTGTATTCGATTTGATGTAAATTGAAATGGGAATATTGAATCTTTTTCATCAAAAAATCAAGTTCAACAATTTGCGTAAACATTTGATTTTAATATTTATGATTGTATGGTCAGCCTTTAATTTTTTGGTAGAGTCTTAGTTGCGAAAAAAATCGGATTGAACCCGAAGCAAAAAAGAATTGACGAAAACAACGAAAGATGTTCGGTCGAACTTATTTTTGTATCTTAATGATTTTTTTTTTTAAGAATAAATTTCGTTCAATACCTTTCCTGCACGAATGTTTTAATTCATGTTAATTCATTTAAAATCCTGCTGTGGTCTTGAGCTTTATATTCAAATTTTGATTCCATGTCGTTCGAAAGAAGAAAAAAAAATGAAAAAAAAACTTTGTTCCAATTTTAATCTAATTTTTATTCGAGAAAACATCACTTGTGCAAACAAAAATATTGATTCAGTCCATCGTTCGACCATTCGGCGAACAAACAAATCATTTCTCTGATTAGAAAACAATCGAATAGATTTCAGTTCCGTTCGACCAATTGTTTGGTGAAAATGATCGACTTTTAAATGTTAAATATTTTAAAAATGATTGAAGAATGGCTGGAAAAGACGACCTTCAATCAAAGTCGACTTTTCAATCGTAACAATCGATCGAACTAAACCTAATCAACAATTTCAACACTTAATCAGCACGTTTCAGTTAATACAGAGTATATTATAAAGTGAAATTGTTAATAAAATATTTTCAATGTTGTTTCAAAGTCAAAATGCATTTTAAATACTAATTTATCTGATTTTTTTTCAACGGATTTGAAAACAGAAGGGAAGAGAAAAATGCACGGTAAGTGGAAAAGTAGGAAAAACAAGCAGGTTATTACAATGCGCAATCGTGTGTTGCCTAATTTTTGCGATGAACATCTCGAACTACTTGAACCGAAATATCACCCGAAGCCACGGACAGATCAGCCAAACTATCTTCGAATGGAGGTGCTTGAGCGTGCGCTTGGTGACCGTGACTCTTCATCTTTCCATCATGACGAATGATCAATGGCGGATTGCCAATCAACTTTTGAACAGATTTTCCGCCTGGCGTCACAATATGCCGATGATCAATGATCTGCAAAAAAACACAAACAACTTCAATGATTAATTTCTTTGGAAAAGAGAAAAGAGTCGAACGAAATTGATTTCCAATTTACCTTTCGTTGTGCGGCCGATATGTACATCTTGCGCGGCAATGCTGATTTCGTCGGAAACGATTCAACGCTTTGGGTGCTTTCATCGAGTGCTCTTGATGCGCAAGATTTGCTAAAATCTTCGGTGAGCAGATTTCGCATCGGTTTAATCGTTTTCATCAGCGGTACCTCCGGTGTGTTATTAATATAGGCTGCTATTGGGCTGGCAATATGACGGAATTGTGGCTTGTGCAGTGATGCAGTTTTCATGGGAATCCGAGATTGAACTGGTGCCGCATGGGCCTTGGATGCAGATGCGGACTTAGCCGCAAATGGTGACCGTACATTGCGTTGATCGGGCCGTTTGAACATATCGACCTTGTTTGGCGTTAAATATTTACCAGCCGCTTTCTTCAGCGATGCACTGTTTGGCGTCAACACTTTCGATTTGGTTTGTGAAAGTGGTGTTTTCTTGTTCTGCATGTGTTGCGGCTGCACATAACGAGTGGGTGTCAATTTTGAACTTTTATCGGTAAGCATCTTTCGGCCTTGTTCCATCATGTATTCAACACGTTCCAGTGTATTATTGAAGTTCGGCATATCACCGAATTTCTCGCTGACACCCGTACTATCTTTGTGTGTGCTTGAGCTCAGCTCCAAACATTCTTCATCGAATTTTTCCTTCGTTGATTCGTTACCGGATTGTTCACTTGGTTTCTCTTCAGACTGATTGATCGTTGAATCTGAATCAATTGATACCACCGACACATTATTCGGATCGGATTTAGCTGTGTGATACGTGGTTTCGATTGACTCAAATGCTGATTTGTAACATTCGGTATTCTGTGTTGTGATAAAACTATTCTCTGGACTCGAATCAAGTACAATCACTTCATTTTCATCGAATTGAGCAACCATCTTATAATCGGAAACTGTACGAATACTTTTCTCATTTCCAATCGCATCATTCTCTTGATTTTCGATGTTCTCTCCATTTTCATCGTACTTTTGACTTGCTTGCGATTCCGTTTTGAATCGATTCCCACTAGTTTCCGAATCATCTAGAACAGATTTAGATTTTATCTCGTTGATCAGACGTTTTGGCACATAGTTTAGGCCACGATCCAGAACATATTCGATTTCTTCGAGTGTGTCATCGGCATTGATAGATGATGACGTTCCAGCAACATTGTTGGCTTCTGAAAATGAATCAATTTATTTATTTTTCATTTCCTTCAATATTTTATCGTCTGTTAGTGACTATAAATTACCTTGAGCTCTTGCATAGGACGTATTGGAGCGTTCATATACTTCTTCAGTGCGTTGAGATTGGTAAGAAGGGCCAGCTTCGTTCAACGAATCGCCAGTGATTTTTAGCATTTTCAACGGTGACCGTTTTTGACTCACTGAAGAGTCCCGATTTATGTTGAAATCGGCCAATAAGCGATTGATTGTCGCAAATTCCATGTCAGTGCCAATGCTATATTCCATCACATATGATGATTGATCCATGTATGAATCATCCACTCGACTGCGAAGACCTGCATGCATCATAAATTTATATTTAGTTTTCCTTCTATTTGTTCAATTAACCGGATTTTCGATTTGAATTCATTTGCATTGTGTATCATTAATAACACTTGAATCGAATCAATTTTTCAAATTTTATCTAATACTTTCAAAAATACGAGAAAAATATTCAGTTCTCAATAACTCGGAGAAATAACATTAACATTGAGAACCGATTGTGGCATCAGCTGACACAGCTCAATTGTATGTTGATACTAATGCGATGTCATTAAATGTAAAAAATATCTAACCAAATTGGAATTCAAAGCGAAAAACTTACGTTCTTTCATCAAATCTTTTCGCAATGGTTTTTCTGGTGGATTAGCCGATGATGTTGTTTGTTCGGCTGACGGTGGTTTATTCTCCTTGTTGGTCACTTGTCGTTTTTCATTAAGAATTCGCTTGAACGACGAATCCAAATCGAAATGATACGTAAGATCGGATTCCGATTCATCGGCTTTAGATCTGTTGAAGAACAAGAAAAAATGTCATCAATTCAAGCCAATCTCACAAACATCGCCACATTCAACACAAAATATTCACCTGTAGTTCAACAAATGATGGCGAAATGCTTCGATGTCGAGCTTGTTTTGGGAACCGCTATCGGTTTTGTCATCACTGGACGACATTTTGCGGTCAGTACTTTTATTTGAAAGTAAGTAAAATAAAAAAAACGTGAAAAGAATTTTGTCGACAAATCTTAAGCCACTCAAGGTCCAATGAAAAAAAACACACAAAAATGCGATATTTTTTATTCAGACAATGGTACAAACAAACGGACAAAACAAATGATTCAGGTAATGTTACACTGACTGGTATGGTTTGGTTATTTATGTTCGTTAAAAATTTCAAACTGCTATTGTCAAACCAAAACCACTTTAATGTGTACTAAAAAACGTTCAAAGATACAGAGAGAATGTCAGAGCAAGAGACGAGGAATGTAAGTGCGTTCACAGCTGTCGGTATTTATACAAATACTGCAATGCCGATATTTTACTGGCAATAATCTAAAATCTATTTTTCTACATTGACAAAATAGTAAACACGTAAATAAGCATGACGTTATGTTGAGGTATTGCGACGAATCAAAAATTATCACAATTAGAAAAATAACCGCATTTCCAGTTGCATTTACAATGTCATTTCAAACGCTAGCACCATTTTGCCAATCGATCAAATCCATTCAGCGTTCACATGGTCGAATCTCAAGTGTATGTATTGCATGAAGTTAACATTCGGATACACATTTTGAATTTGTTTTTTTTTTGCCACATGCTGAATGCTGAATTCATAAATCATATGATCGATATTTGTTGATATACACCGGATAATCAAGTGCAGGGGCTAAATGAAAACATGTGTTCACATTAAATTAGGATCTCTAAAAATGGATAACAATTGATTCTTTCATTGACAGAGCATAAGACACCATGGAACTAGTAGTAAAAATGAAGTACAAATTGTTGAAGTCGGACCACGGGATGGTTTACAAAATGAACCGAAATGGGTTGAAACCGATGTTAAAGTGGAGTTCATAAATCGACTGTCGAAAGTCGGTTTGCAACATATCGAAACAACCAGGTAATTATGACCATAGATTAGGAACATACAAAACAAACCTAAAACTCTTTACCAATCAAAATTAAAACGTTTTCTTTGACGAGATAAGATTAATGACGATAAATTTGTCCGTTGCACAGTTTTGTGAGCCCCAAGTGGATTCCACAGTTCAAAGACAGTTTGGAAGTGTTCCAGCGAATTGAAAAGACCGATTCAATTTCATATCCAGTGTTAGTGCCGAATATCAAAGGGTTCGAAACAGCTGTAAGTATCGAGATGAAATCTATTGACATTTGTCAATTATGTATTCATTTGCTCATCGTCATTTCCTCGCCAATAGATCGCCCAAGGCGTAAAAGAGATTGCGATTTTTGGTGCTGCCTCCGAGACATTTTCCCAGAAGAATATCAATTGTTCAATAGAAGAAAGTTTAAATCGATTCCGTGTGGTGACTGAAGCGGCACAAAAAGCGAATGTCAAAATTCGAGGCTATGTTTCAACAGTTGTTGGTTGTCCGTATGAAGGGCCGATCAAAGCGGCTGCTGTTGCCAATGTTACCGAAGAGCTGCTAAAGCTTGGATGCTATGAAATCTCGCTGGGCGACACAATCGGCGTCGGAACAATTGGATCGATGAGTGCAATGTTGAAAGAAGTGAAAAATGTAGCTGATCCTAGTCAATTAGCTATTCACTGTCATAACACATATGGACAGGCGTTACCAAATATTTTAACGGCCCTGAATCATGGCATACGAGTCATTGATGCAGCTGTCAGTGGATTGGGTGGTTGTCCTTATGCAAAAGGTGCTTCAGGCAATGTACCAACTGAGGATGTGATCTATATGCTTCATGGCCTGGGAGTACATACCGGCATTAATCTTCCTGAGCTGGTACTAGTTGGTCGCTTCATTTGCAATTATCTCGGTAGAAATTCGGAATCCAAAGTCACATTTGCGATGGGAGATTTGAAACCAATGGATAAAAACGCTCATACACACAATCATGACCATAGTCATAGTCACAGTCACTCTCACAGTCATTGATATTTGTTTTTGAATTTGACACCTAAAGTTGGCAATACTTTACAGTTTTTTTTTTTTATTTTGACATATTACAACAGGAATGTACACAGTAGCGTAAATAGTTGATTTGAATAAAAAAAAAAGTCAAAATAGAGAAACAAAGACTTTTATTTTTATCGACGGTGGATAAACTTTAAGGATCTCAAATTCGTTTTTCGATTTGTCAATACAATGGCTATTTACAAGGAAAAAATTGGAAGAAAGCGTGCGAGTATACGGCAAGGAATATTCTGGGCAGTTTGGGGATTTTTGGCTGGCATTTACTGTTTTCAACCAATCCTCAAATCGGCACACCGTGACGAAAAGTCAATTTTAGCCGATTACATCGAAATTGAAGGTAACAAAACGAAAATAGAAACAAAATCGGATGAAAAAAGCAAAACAACAGAAGACTTAAGTAAGCCGCATAGCTAGAGATGCATCGAGAATTATCTTTATTCGATAAGTGATATTAAGCAAACAGAATATGTTAGTCATTATTAGAATTGCTTGAATTTCGGTCAAATAAAGCCAAAATTGTCCGAAATCCATGTTCAATTGTTACGCTGAAATAAATTTGTTATAAAAATGAAACAAAAACATAGAGGTTAGTTTTCGTTCATTTGGTTTTTTCTTTTGGTTGGTACAATAATGACAGGTGAGCTTTGACACTTTCTTTGACTTACATAATATCGATGCATGGTATGTTATTTTGAAATAAATGTCGATTGATAACCAAGAAAGCCGCAGTTTGATCGAAAATCTGGTGCATTTAGCGTGATGTTTATTCCAATTCGAAGAGGCTTGAGAACACGGGAAATATTTCTAACCACCGTAATTGGTGTGGGTATCTCACTTTACGCTTGGACACCAGTTATTAAAGAACAAACAGCAAAAACAAAAGCGACTCAGTCATCAGAGAACTCGCAACAGCAATCCGGCAAAGTACAACCGAAACCCGTTGAGACACAACCCTTAGCCAACGATCAAAAACAAAAGAAATAATTTTGATTTAAGGAAATTGAAATAAATTGTGATCGTAAGTCTTTTTTTTCATGGAACAATAAACACTGTGGATTTTTCCAGTCATGTTTTGGGTCTCTCTATAAGAGAGATATGATACTATTGCTACGGAATGAACGAAAACAATTCTCAAATTCTTTGATACCCTCTTGCAGATGCAGCCATATGCGATTCGGAAAAATCGATCGTATTCACTTCAAGTGAAATTTTTCATTGCCACCGTTATAACAACTTGTGCCGTGTTTGGCTACAAGAATTACCTAGGACCATATTTGAGGAGATGTAGAGCGCAAAGGGGACAGGCATTTGAACAAGAATATTTTGAGAAACAATCCAAATCAAGCTAATGTAATCGGATGCATCTATTGGGAAAAGATTGAAATTCTTCTTGAAAGAACTTCATGACAAAAACATCGAAATACCATAGCAAATCTGTCAACAAGTTTAATATTTATATGCATTGAATAAGAAAATGCCCGTTTCAGCATTCGAATGATGTTTATTTTCTAGATTTTATTTCATAATAAAGACTTAGATAAAATTGTTTTGAATATTGTGATTTTCGCTTAGTTTTTCTTCTTATACTTGTTTTGGTATCAAATGAACACTATTCTTGCATATAAATGGTACGTTTAATGTGTGTGTGTGTGTGTGTTAAAAGGATTCATTACAGTTGAAATTGTGATTTAAGATAATTCTTTATTTCTCTTAATTTATTTCAGTTCCGTTAAATTGAACGTATCTCGTTGGATGGGTAAAAGAAAACTTAAAAAGAACACAGTATTCAAAAAAATGTGTGTAAGTGTGATCAGTCTATTGTTTGTTTGTTTGTTTGCTGTTTATGTATAAATATTGTGAGGGAGTAAGTGTGTGATGCGTGTTCGCATTTAAAATACGTTTCGCTATTGGTTGACTATCGGTTCTCGTGGTGGCGGTTGTGGTGGCACCGATGAGCTATGCTCCATTTTCTTCTGATAATCTTGTTGTTGCTTTAAAAATGAGCTTAATCGATTCAATAAAAATTGTTTGTCATGTCCTTCGAGCACTAGTTGATTCTTTAGCATTTCAACCATATGCTTATTGGCCGCCGAAACGGCATAATAATAGTACAAGCAGAGAATTAAAGCGACAAAACATGGTACAGCAAATGTGGCGGTGCCGAAAAAGAAAATAATTGTCTGGCAATAAACGGGCAATTCGCGGAATGCATTAATCGCCGCCTCCCACACCGAATCCAAACCACGAAACGGTCCACATGCACGCGATGGCATTATTTCGGCCGCTGCGTACACGATTGGTATCACGGCCAATACATAAGACAAAAGTAGCACCAACATGAACAACGAATTGGAACGTGATGCCCGGTACAGTATTGCTGATGGCTTTGAATTGATCAGACACGCAAACTTTTTCACATAAAACATGCCAAAATGTAGTACAACAGCGGTGGCCGGTATGAATGGTGAATAGAATGTGCCAAGCCAACAAATTGTTTGCGAATACACAATGTCGAGCACGTGTTTTGACAATTCAAATTCTTGTTCGCCAATGAATCGTGTGAAGCGACTGTTTATGTGCCGTGCCAACATTGCACGTGGAAAATTGATGAATAACGTTACAAATACATGTGTAACAAAGTCAACTACCAGCAGTTTGTAGAATTGTTGACCGACAAATGTTTCCCAACATTGTAATGGACCATAGCTGGAGTTGCATTCGCCGGTGTTCTGCTTGAATTTCGATGTGACCAAATAGTGGAAACGACTCAATAGAACCCCAAGCGATGATAAACGCAAGAAAACTGTGCGCAATAGCGTGATTTTGATAACAAACATCGGTGAATACTGTTCGAATTGCACGAGATAATTAAATAGTAATGGCACCAAAAAATTCATGCATACAATGGTAATGTATGGTAAAAATTCGACGAATAAGTCATGCAGAAGATTATATATGTGTTTGGTCTCCTTGTCGCCGCCGCCGCCACTGTCTTCGTCGTCGTCCGGTTTTTCGCTGGCTGTTTCGTAGCCAATGCTGCCTGGGAGTTTATTCTGGCCGGGACCAAGATCAAAATGAATCTCGTATGCTTTCAAACTGAAATTGATGGATTCGTAAATGATCCAGGCAGCTACCAGAAGAATTACGCATACGATTAAATTCACCAGCAAGCGAATCATAATGATTTTAAACATTAAATCTTTCGGCCGATTGCAACGCTCCAATTCCATGCGTTTCGATTGTAAAAGTCCTTTTATCTCATTCAACAGTGCTTTGTGTTTGATGTGCGCCGATTTTTGATTATGTATACAAAAATCCCATCCGCCAAACACTAAATTGCAATATTGATAAAATTGCCCCTCGCCCTCGACCATACGATCCTTAAATTCGCGTGACACCGACTTAACGATTGCCACCAGTGACATCAATAGAAATACCACATTCACTGAGAGATAGGCCAATGGTAAATTAAAGTAAAATTGCAAACCGCTGAGATCCAATATACCATTCGAAATCGTCGGCTTTGTCGATTGATCAATGCCACTACTGTTGGATTCATCATCGATGAACTGAGTATCTACAGTGGTGCTATTCAAATGGCTGTTGCTACTGCTGCTGTCGTCACCTCCAATTGTTGTGCCGAACACTCGTTTCGAATACATGCCATAAAACATGATTGTCTTCTCCATAAATCGCTTCCCCTGAATCAAATCCCATACAATGACATCGCTATGCGTTTTCTTATAGAAATACTCTTGGAAGCAGCATTCAGTCGAATTACGTTCAGTGTTTTCGTTGCACGATACATTCGGCTCTTCATGTGTTGGACTTAGAATTACTTGTGGCAGAACAATAAATATCAAAATTAAAATAAAAACACTTAAATTTAAACAGATCAACCAGCGCAGGAAATGAAAGTATGCCACAACGCCCGTCCCGCAATTGCCTGAATTTTTTTTTTGGAGGAAAAAAAATTTTCAAATATAAAAATCAACTTTTCTGAAATATAAATACAGCATTGGGTTAAATTATCACAATTAACCTTCAATGGTTTTGAGCGAATTTCGCCACAATGCCATTTTTATCCACCATTCCGACCATTTGGCATGGAATTGCTGGCACACTTTTCGTCGTTGCCACTTAAACTGATCAAAACCCTGCAGTCGCAGTTTTGTCGCATTTTGTAATTGAGCCTTCATATCACGTTTCTGCGCCATTGACACTGGCATCGATTTGATTTCATGGATTTCTTCCCATATGCGCTCCTCGTCCGTCAGATTTTCTATCAAAGAGAACGAAATAGAAACGGAGGCGATTAATCATCATCAATCGGAGATGAAATTAAGTTTTTAGATTGTCAAAAGAAAAAATGAAATAAAAATCTCTCACTTACCAGATAAATCTGGGAGCATTGCAATATGAACTTCATGAAATTGAGATCCGCGTCTGATTGAGTGATGCTGTCGCGATGTAGATATACTATGTTTTCGATTTGTACATCGATCGGCTGCCGTATTTCCACCGCCTTGCTTACTTGTGCCAGCCGCTGCCGCACGATCACGTCGAACCCTTTTCGTGGTTGCTGCAAATACAAATTAAATTCCCGTTCACGCAATGCAATTTTAAAATATTTATGAGCAAATGCAAATCCAACGAATACTAATCGGAACAAATCGTCGTTAATCGCCACAAATCGTTCTAATTCGTGATTAATTTTTTTTCTCGTTATTTTAAATTTAGAGCCTTCAATAAAACATGTGTATATTTTTGTGTTCAAACAAAGCATAAAATCGTCCATTTTCATGGTTTGGTGCATTTTATTATGAACATACGCCAAGTTAGCCAAAAAAAAAAACATAGAGAAATGGTTTCTTGCGAAAATATTAGCCATTGCCATCCACTTATTAAGGAATGGAGTTTGATAAATTGCGTTAATTCCGTTCTGGGGGCTTGAGAAAGTTCAAAAATAAATGGTGATACAGAATGTTTCTGATTTATTTTTTCATTTTCATTCGAAACGGAATATCATAAAAGAAGCTATGTCGTCTGACTATCGTAAATTTTAACGATTAATCTAGACGCCACACGATAATTTCAACTCATTCTGTCTGTGGCATCGCTACGTCTTTGCATTGTATTTAAAATAAAAATTAATACGATAATTTCCCTCAATGAAACCATTCATAAGTGTTCATTGGGCAAATCGTTTGGTATGTTCTGAAAATGTTTAACGAAAAAAAGAGTAAGAGAGAGAGAGAGGCGACATGTAGTGCGTCATCTTGTAATCGTGAGAACGGTTATGCTTGCTTAGTTAAATATAGTTGCATTTATTTTCGTTTTAAAAAGCGTAACGAATCAGAAACGTATTTTTTTTGTCTGCAAAGAAATATAATTCTTTGTACGTACAAAATATGTACGTATCATTGTGAAAAAAAAAACAATTACATAATAATCAAGGCGGCTCAGCGAAGCGTGAAGTTAGCATGTGTAATAATGACAGTTTCAATTTATCTATCTATCTCTTGACGAATAATACCGGCATTTTTATTGACTTTGTAAATCATTCGTTCCGTTTGAATTCCGGAATTGATTAAATAAAATGATTTGCTCCGTGAATTCGACGCCATTGATTGGACGAGCACATTTTCTATGGAAAAAAAGAGATAGAGAAATCTTACCGGCCCGATTCTGTTTCGAAGGTAGCAGTGTGGCAAGTGCGGATGGATCTCGTGTGATAACGGCGCCATCCAAATCGCCGGTTGGGAAAGATTCTTGATAGAATTCACCGCCGGCTTCCTCCCAACCAGCGGCCACCTTATTTCCACGGGCCTTTTGCTGATCCTTTCCGGTAGACATCCTGATTACCTCTCTGGCTGAGATGTATTTGTGTGTTAAAACTATGCGTATATGTTTGACGGTTTCTATTCGACTAGATTAGTAGATGCATTTATTGTTCCCCGTATTTGAGCGCTTTGGTTTGTGTGTAGAAATTGAAATGCTTAGCTGACACTTATGACACTGTTAAAAACAAAGAAAATTTATGGGTTTAACAAGCAATAAATCTTCGATTGAAATTCTGTAATTGTAAAGCTGGTCAATAGACCACGGTAGTACCACGGAAATAATTCATCGAATGCATTGAACAAATTTTGCAAACAAAAACAAATGAGACTGAACAGGTGATTACAATAAACAAGACACGAGTGAGATATAAATCAATCGCGAATGCCCATAAAGTGTAAAATCACCGTTAAAAAAAAAGCCACAATAACAACTACGAAAAAAATGTATTTGGTCACACTTACGGTGCTGCATTGTTGAGAGTGTGAAATATAAAACCTATCAGTGTGTGGATTTTTTCATATTATTATTATTTTCTGGTTTATCGAAAAACAATTGCAGTTGATTACAGTTCAAACAGCACCGAATCACTTTGGATTGCCTACAAATGGTCGCTATTTATGAACCGCTAGGCATGCGATAGAATCGACGATTTTGGAATTCCAAGCAGCAATAGATATGCATAGCATCGGCTACCAATTTTACACTGACACCGAAATAAATGTGAATCAAAGGGGAAAAAAGCAACGGCATACAGCAAACATTAACTCATATGATATCCATCGTTTATGTAGTTTTTCTTTTTGCTCTTATCTCGCGCCGTTCGCTTGAATGAAAATCGATCGATCTCAAGTTGAGGATGGAGAGAGAGAGAGTGAGGGAGAAGGTGTGAATTTAAAATTAGTTGTGATTCGGTATTTTTCCGCAAAATCTTATGAATGACTTGGAAATATACACTCTAAGAATAGCGGTCATCGCCACTCATATCATCATTGATTCGAAACACACACTCCGTTCTTATCAACAACACACTTAAGGCCTGTTTTGTTACGTTTCGTTTCATTAAATAAATTAGTTTTCTGTTCGTTCAGTTGTATGTTTCGTAATGGCAAATGTTTTCCACTTCATTCATTAACTTGCTTTTTTTCCTGGCCTATTGATGAAGACAGTCATTCACACGCACATCCGTTCTCATTTTCACAATTTCCACAGGAATTTTCTTTAGCGTTTAAATTTCATGTATTTTTTTTCTCTCTCTATCTTTCTACTCGCGCTATTGACACAAAACACAATAAATGCACAACGTTTATGTTTTCTTGTGTGAGACACAACAATTCGTCAATTGCCACTGCCGTAAATTCTATTTCGTGTGATAAATCATTAAAATCTTTAGCATTCTATATAAATTGTGAACTTAGTAAATTCTGTCATTATTTACTGTGTGCTACGATTTTATGACTATTATTTTCATCGGCCATGACAATGTCACCAACATGCGAATTCATTGTATTCGCACCCAAAACACATATACATACACAGCGCGCATCACATGTACGATTTTGGATTGCCACAAGCTATACACTAAGCAAAGAAAATACATACAAACATCCTTGTTTGTTCGTTTGCCTGCCTGCATGCCTGCTTCAGACGATGTGCCGTTGTCATTGTCGTTGTCGTAGTCGTAGTCGTTATCGCTTCTTTACTGATATGTGAGCTACTAATACATGCATAATTCTCCACACACCAAACATTCTGTCTACTGCTGACCGAATATTCTGTCGGCCGTTTTACTCCCGTTTTATAATCGCACGATTGCAAAGAAAAAAGAATCGACATTTTTTGCCGCATTTTTCTTTGAACAAGAATCAAACAGTTTATTTTGCCTTTATCGAACTTAAATCAAGCACTCGGCTAACTGGTTGACTACTGAAAAGTCTATATTTTGGTGAAATATGTAAATCCCAAGAATAAATGTGTAATAATGTACATTATGGAAACAAGCGCAGCTACACGTTTCTTATTATTTTAAATGTTCTTTCTTTTTTTCGTAATGTACGCACGGAAGTGCATTTACATTACCGTGAAAACGTGCAGCACAGACACAAGTACAAGTGCATTCATTTCATTTTATGCTGAAAAATCCGATTTTTTTTTTCTTCATTCAATTTACATATGCTGCTTGTAAAGTGTACGGTTACAAGTACATTTTGATTAACGTTTTTGCCATTTATATCAATTTTCACCTCTTTTCAAATCCTGTCTCCTTTTGAATTTGAGAAATTTTATCTTGATAATCCGAATCTTAATTCGAAAATTCCATTACCTATTTACACTTCAATACGCATAGATTATAAGCTGCAATTAATAAGTGTGTGATCCATTGAACACACTATGAATCACATCAATCAAATGTGATTTTTCGTTCGTTTGTGAAACACGTGATCAAAAAAAAAATATGTTTATGGAATCGCGTGACATTGGAAAGATTATTTTGAAAATTACAAACGTTTACCTTTTGCAGATGTGTTCACAAATTAAATAGTATGTACCGAACACGATCGATTTTGTGAAATCTCTACATGCCCTTTTCTTTGAATGTTTGATTTTTGAATCAAAAGCGAAAAAAATCTTGTGCACAGAAAGAACACCGAAAGTCGCTACTGAAGGAATTAAACTACGCATTTATATTGTAAGGGAGAATTCACTCATTTACGTCCTTCTTTACAATTGGTAAAAAAAATCAATTTGTATATTTCTGAGCGAATGTTCTCTTATATTGTTTTAGTATGCTTTGGAAATATTGACGATGCCCTTAAACGTAACGCTTAAAATACGTCCACAGCCAGTATCGGTTTTTTTGTTCATTTTTATTGGATCAAATTTTCACAGACAAACGCCGTTATGGCAACAATATAGCACAGAGAAAAAATATAGCATCAACGTGTGATAATCACAGTTCGGGCTCAAGAATGGATCTTCATGTTTCTTTGACAGCCCAGCTTCGAATACCATGAACAACAATTCTAACGCGTTTTAAATTAAATAAAAACCGTTCTATTTTTGTACAAAATGTTTGCAAACTTTTCTTTTTTTTCCGATTTGGCACATTTACTTTTCACACAAGTGATTATGATGTGGATATAATGAGACTGTATTTTCTCTTCTTTTCCTTTTTTCTACCTATCGTTTCTCTTTCTCTTCCTCTCTCTTTTCTTCTGTTCGACGTCGTCGTCACTACTGTTGTCTTTCGAATTTTTCTTTTTCATTTTTGGTTCTTCTGTCGTTCACGTTCCAGTTCAATTTCCTGTTGCTTTAGTTCTTGTTCCGCTCGTCCAAGTCTTCTCTGGTTACTGGAAAGCAGGGATAACTAGCGATCATCAATACTTTTGTATGCATCGATTTTCCTCTGCAGTTCTCGAATCCGTTCTTGAATTTTCTCCAACGAATCTGCGTTTAGTGTGTTCACAAAAATGTTAATTGGATTCAGTAGCACTTTCATCATTTTTCACATTCACCTGACATTTTATCCGTTATGAAAATTTGTGTTCAAAGTGAAACAAATATGATGCAACTCCTGACAAAGTGCAGTTGGACAAGCGACTGATGATAGTGAGCTAATGACACTGAAGATTGCCCTTTTACGAACGAAGGAACAACATTAAAAAGAATTGGTCGGAATCGGAATATTATGATAAACAATATTTGCAAAGGTTTTTGTTTTGACTTGGATTTCTTTATTAAACAATTATGTTAAAATGTTGTCAAATTTGGTCGATCATTTATCATTTTGGTTTTCCGTTCGAATGTTGATCAACTGTTTCAGCCCATCATCCATTTTCTCCATTCGTATGATTATTTTATTTTTCCTTTTTTTGTTTAGTGTTTACCCGGCCATCCACCTTAAAAATAAGTATCTGCGACCTGACGCATATTCCATTTTGTATCATTTACAGCAATGAAGATAGTGGATAATACAGTTCGATTGTTTATAAACAACCAATATAAAAAATATTTGAATTCGCAGAATAAAGTGCAAGACACTTATTTTTAAGCGTGGATTATGATTCGCGGGCTATTGCAATGTTTTCTCTTTTTCTGTGTATTTTTACGATTAAAAGTACAAACCAGTGTTATGTCTAGGCCACAATAAGCGTAGCGATGAATTTATTCTGAATCCGAATATAATCCCATCGAATTAATGGAAAACAAATGAACTGCTGAGAATAAAAGGCTGACGATTGCAGTTTTTTCGCAAAAGCGGGATAAAAATCAGTTGCACGCAAAAGAGACATTTCAAAAGGTTGCACGCAAGAGAGAAGTATATCGTTGTTGTAATCACGGCTTGAAAATTCGAAATGCGACAAAATAAAATGTTCCGTTTGCGTGCAACCTTTTGAAATGTCCCTTTTGCGTGCAACTGATTTTTATCCCGCTTTTGCGAAAAACTTGCAATCGTCAGCCTTTTATTCTCAGCAGTTCAAATAAATAACAAAGGATGAAAAAATGAGCACATACTAAAACATTGTTGTTAAATTTGAACAATTCACCACTACCCACTTCTGAATGACGAATTGTTGAGAAATGTCATCTTGATGATCTGCCATGCATTCGCATATCCATTGAGGTTGCTGTCACCAAAACTCTGTATCTGTACCAAAAATTTTGCGTACAACACCAATCAAACAAAAATCTTTGCATGCCCTTTTCTTTAAATGTTTTATTTTTGAATTAAAAGCGAAAAAATCTTGTGTACAGAAATTTACTATTGGTAAAAAAAATCAATTTGTATTTTTTTTTTGTAACTCTCTTTTCGGTTCTTATTTCTTTGACATGTTTGCTCCATTGCTATTCGAAGCATTCACTCCATATGCTTGAGCGTATTGGGCCCAATTTTGCCATCCTTGGTGATTGCCCGTGGTCTGTGAATACGAATTAAAATACAATTAGAGGTAATTAATATCGATGTGAGATTTGGAATAATTTTTGTTTGTTTGTTTTATTACCTGTTGCTGTTGTTGCTGCCACCATTGCGTATTGTTAGCTTGTTGATGCTGAAAACGATAAAAATTAATCAAAATTAGGATCATCCATTAAATGTACATGAAATTTTTATCGAATCACTAAACTAGACCATCCGAATAGTTTTAAAAAGATTGCATATATCAGTTCACTGGCCCATTTGATGACAAACTTCAAAATGAGACTGTGTGTAATTGTCTCGCTCATTAACCAATCAATATGCTGAATACAAAAAATCGTGTTTATTATATTTACCTGCGGTTGGCTTTGATGCGTAGTCTGCATGAGGGGACCTTGCTGTTGCCATTGCAACCATTGCTGCTGTTGGGGTGTATAAGTGCTGGTTGCCGCTGTCCAATTACTCGATGATGAAGACTGTTGAGAAGACGACTAAAATTAAATGGACAGAATTCGTGTTATTTATCAATGAAATTCCAGTTGAATCATAAGATTTAGAGTAATCATGAGAACTTTTGAGAATTATGGAATAAATATTTTTGAATTATTCACAATGGTACATACCACAGACGAAAATGAGCCATAGTCACGGCTGTTTGAGCCCATCGTTTGGGAGCGATTGTACGATTTGTTTGCGTTCCAATGACCGCTGCTGCCTTTTGAACTGTAGCTCTATGGAATGCAAAGAAAAACGAATGGAAAAATCATTGCATTTCTTTGTAAATCGATTAAAAACTTTGAGCTGTGCATAATTAATAATCAGCTATGTGGAATATCGATAGAAAATTCATTGGCCCAATTTTTGAATTTGTTGGCATAGAATAAATAAATCGATTGTTTACTTACACTTCTGCTGCTTGAATGGTTGTCTTTGTCTCGCTTCGATGCACCGCCTCCGTGCTTATCACCGCGTTTATCACGGCTATCTTTGTAGTCACGATCACTTCGGCTTCCGCCACGTCGATCATCATGCCTTCTGTCACGGTGATTCGGATAGTCATATCGTCGATTTCCCCAATTACCGCCGCTGCTACCACCGCCGCCGCCACCACCACCACTGCCGCTTCCGTGCCATTTGTCACGACTTCGGCCGCCACTGCCGCTATTAACCCCTGCAAACACAACAAACACACAATTCATCAGTTTCATATTACGTTTACAATTCAAATGTGAATTGGCCTTGGGCATGGAACACCTACCTCTATTATGCCACTGAGATGATGAACCTTGTTGTCGCCAACGACGATCTGACGATGATTGGCCCCAATTTCTTCGGTCTCGACCATATCGATCACGGTTATCGTCTAGAATTTTTTTCGAAACGGAATATTTAGTTTTCTTAATGAAAATTTCCCTTTCGGTAAAGATTGAGGAGCGTGATTCAATGTGAATTCATCAATTTTTTGCCATTTTGCAAAGTGTTATTATAAATGAATTTGCATCTTATTAGCATTTCACGCGATAATTTAACAAGTTGCAATCGATGATTTTGCCAGCACAATTGCTCAATCAACAGTGTGAAAATGCCAATTTGAATTGATTCATACCTCGTCGGCGATCACCACGATCATTGTCACGTTCTCTTTCTTTCACCGCTTTTTTGCCTTTTTCATTGAACTCTTCCACCTTTTTCTTTGCGTCTTCCTCATTCAATTCGGTGTATATAACCTCATCAAACCAACCGAAATCGGTAGAAGGCAGAATAAAGTTAGCTGCAGAAAATTAAAGTACAAATAAACAATTGAATCATACGAATAGTAAAAGTTTTTGAAAAAGGAAATGGTATCATCGCAAATATAATATTATTTCGATCAAGTCAAAGAACTACTATGGTAAAATCATGTAGCAGGTTGGATGAGGGGGGGAGTTACACAAATAGAACTTGTCCTCACTGAACCATTAACATGAAATTACACCAGCCAAGCACTTGATGCGGTTAAAGTGGCTTTGATCGCAAATTACTTACCTTTCATTTCATTTAGTGCGTTGTCAGAGACGGTCTTTTCGGTTTGTTTGTCATAACGTTCTTTATAGGTGGTATCATCGGGAATTATAACGGCAGCGATACGCTTGAAATCACCATAGCCCTTCATTTTTCGACGTTGTGCCGATGCCAACACATTCGTCTATCGAACGAATGAAAATTTATTAATAAAATTGCTTGGATGCATTTTCCCGCCGAATGTTCATCACACTTGACTTTGTGTAATTTTGATAGTTACAAGATAATTGAAAGATAATTCTAATTCAATGCACTACATTTACCTGATCCAAAATATAGTTTCGTCGTTTCTTAACAGCAAGATCTTGAATCGAGTGAAGTCCTCGTGTAGTCCAGTCTATGAAACGTTCCCATCGTCCATGTGAATGATGCTTTTTCCTTGATTCTCCACATACCTATGTGAGAAAATGAGTTCGGTTTCGATGAAATTTATTTTCAGGAATTTCAAAATTTGCACCAAAAGATCCAAATCCAATTTGGAAGCGAATAAAAGGAAATTCACTTACCGTCATTTTATCGAGTAAATTCTGTACACCAAGTATATTGTAATGTTTTTCAACATTGTCTTTGGAATGCTGAGTGGCCCAGTGTGTTTTGCCGGCGCCGGGTAAGCCAATTAAAAGAATGACTTCGCATTCTTTTCGAGTTTTCGGTCGTTGGTAACCCTGAACCAAATTCTCAATGCCAACATTTCCAATCAATTCATAGTCGGGCAGTAGTGAATATTCTTTCTGTTGCGATTCATTTGGTTTGTCTTTTTCACCATTTTTGGCTTCATTGCTGTCACCATTTTCGGAAACAGTTGGTTTTTCCTGTTCGGTGCTTTCATCTTGCACATTCTCTTTCTCCTTTTCTCGCTCTTGATCTTGCTCTTGCTCCGCCTCTTGATCTTGCTGATTCTCTGGTTCTGTCTCTGGCTCTTTTGTTTCCAGATTCGCATCACCCTTTTCCGATTTCTCGTCGTCTGGCTTCTGTGACTCGGAGTCCGATCGTTTTCGTTCATCTTGTGTGGTGGCCGGTGAGCTACTCTTCGTTGAATCTTTGCTTCGTTTGTCTTTATCTTTGTCGCGACGTGAGCCTTCATCGCGCCGTGATCGATTTGGACGTTCTTCGTTAACAAGCAACTTTGAACATTGGCCAAAGTTAACGGTGAATGCAAGATTTTTCGTTAGAATATGTGGATATAATGCTGCACCATTCAGGTCATCTTTGTTAAATTCGAATGCAGTCCCTTGTGGCTCTCCGTTCACCGTATATGAAATGATGCACGGTGTACTGTCCAAATCCAAGTAAACGCCAACCACATCGCCACGCGAACCATACTTTACGCCGTAATCGCTGAAAACACTATCGCTGGCTTTTTTGGCGCAACCGCTATAGCCAAATGATAGAGGACTCTCGCCCAACTGTAAGTTATCCGATACTATCGACCAACCACACCGCAATTCATACAAATTGCGTTCGTCTGATAAGTTTTGTATTCGATTGATTTCATTGACTTGAACTTCGTAGCAAACTTTTCCCTTGATCACGCCATAAGTGGATCGAGCGCCAGCCCATGCCAATGCAAGAGCACCATCGGACAATGGACGTGCCGAGCATAGATCCGACTTGTTAATGGCCAAATTCAAATCGGAATCGTACCAACTCAATAAAACGGCATTTTCATCGAATTCCGGTTCGTCTTCTTCGTTCGTGAAATCGTCAATATTGCGGGCGGGTGAAGCACGTCGATTGGCCCGTTTGGCTGGCGGTGATTTCGATTTTGTTTTCGATCGAGAGCGTCGACGCTTCCGGCTCTCTTGCTTCTCCGCATCCTTTTCGGGTGTGCTTCTTTCTTCTTCCCCCTTGTCCTGGCTCGGGCTTCGTTTTGTTGCTTCGGCTTCGTTACCATTCTTCGATTCTTCGTCAGCATCTTCTACGATCGGTTCATTTGACTCTGATAATTTCGCTTCTGTTATTTGTTCACTTTCAGTTGGTTCGTTTAGCTCATGATTTGTATCGCTGTCCGCGATATTTTGATTGGCCAACTCTTCCACAGTCTCCGTTTCTTCTGTTTCCATTGCCTCGACCGCTTCGCTTACGTCATGACGACGCTCAGCCGGCTCATTCGAAATGTCATCATTTTGATCATAATTATTCTCGTCCGCATTGCTATCGTTTTCACTTCGTGAGGACTGACTATCGTCTTCCTCTTCCTCTTCGGACTCTTGCTGCAGCTGCTGCTGCACTTGCTGTTGATTTAAGGATGGAGCCTCCGTTTCTTGTTGATAATATTCTTGTTGCTGCTGTTGCTGTTGTAGTAGTTGTTGTTGTTGTTCGAATATCGGCGCGTCATCTTCTATTGGAGCCTCATATTGTGGTTCAGTTGCCGGTGGCTCTTCACTATAATGCGTCGATGTATCTGGTAGCACCGGTGGTTCTGTTTGTACTTCAAACTGCACTTCAGGTGGAAATTGATTTGCGGTAATGCTCGAATCTTGTAGCTGTTGTTGTTGTTGTTGTTGCTCTGTTGAAAAAAATAACATAGAAAAAAATCAACATTCATTATTTTGCATTCGAACGTGTTAATTTTTGGAGCCGAAATGAAAATAGCAATTTTTAACCGTGTTTCATGTTCAAAATGTGGTTTTTGCATATTTTGGTATATTATTGAAGAAAAGTCATGCATGGCATACATTCACAACATGATAACCATGTGTGTGTATGTGTGTATGTGAACGGAGTATAGAATTTCAAGATGGCGATGGGAACTCAAAGCGTATATATATTTATACAAAACAAACGCTACGGAAACGATTGATAAAACAAGGGGGAAAAAAAATGCAAAACACCAATTTTCACATGAAACCGATCGAATCGATTCCATCACCGCAATGAACACAATCGATGATGATAAAAACCGTTTAACAGTCCGAACATTGTAGATCAAAATACAAACCAAATGAATCGTCATCTGAGTGTACTGCAGTCAAATTTTGTTGTTCCTGGTCCAATGCGGCTTGTAAACGTGACACTAAAATGGCTTTAACACCCTTTTGATCGAGACCGCGAGCCGCTAATTCAGCACGTAATTCCACAACTTTCAATTTTGCTGGATCCATTGTGGCACAAATTCGATGAGCACATTAAATGTTTGCTCACTCTCGCTCAATCGGCAATTCGCAATAATTCTTTCTGTGTTTTTTTCTCCCTTCTTCTGTTCTTCTTTCGGTCGTCACTTTTGAATTCACACCGAGATAGATATGGACAAAATTGAACGTGTATTTGTTCGTTCCTTCGTTGTTTCGATTTTCCCGCTCGAAAGAAAGAAAAAAAAATGTTTGCATGCAATGCGTTTCTCAAATTTGTTTTTCCGTTTTGTTTTATCAACTCGATGTTCGTATGCACTGTAATATTTCTTTTTTCTTTCGCTCCAACACTAATCACCTTTTCGAGAGTGTTTATAGATTTTTTTCTTCTTTCTTTCGTTTTCTCACTCTTCTGTCTTCTCTTTACCATACGATTAGATGCACACACTCCGATTTGTTATTTACCTCTCTCTGGTTGGTTTTTTTCTTTCTTTTTTTCGCATTCGGTGCTACTTGTGTGTGTCTCTTATCCGCATCGACGGCGGCGTTTAAATAAATAAATATCAATATTTTATTCGCTATCGATATTATTCGATATTTTAATTTACAATTTAACTAGGTAAAAATACAATAATTGTATTATTATTCATCACTTCAGCCACAAATGAAATATTCTTCTTTTTTTTCTTCTTCTTTTCGACGAACGAGATGCGCGCGAATGGCGATTGCTAGGTTGTGAGTGCTTTATTTTTGCTCTTCTTTTTCTCTCCCCGTTAACAACTCTGTGTGTGAAAAACGCACGCAGAACCAACACACAAACGCCGACTGTCATGTAGGCATTTCACTGTTGTTTTTTTTCTTCTTAATACCAACTGTAGTAGAAAATAACCGAGTGGAGAGAGAGAGAGAGAGAGAGAGAGCGTGTGAACTCGTTATGCAAGTATTAGTGTACGTAGTACAAGTATCGGTTGTATGAGATGAGAGAAAAAAGCGCAAAATGTCGTTCTCATCAACACACTGTTTGGTTGTCGTTGTCGTCGTCTTATGTCACTTGAGCGTCATAAATTTTTCCATTGATATTCTTGCCATTTTGCATTCTAATAAATGCGATAAGCATGCAAATCGCTCAAATTCTTGCATCAACAGTGGGATTTCATCAATGAAACACATTGTTCGTAATGAATTCACATAAAATTTCCAAAGAAATTGCATATATTTTTGGAATATGTTTCACATTCAAAATTGAATGTCCGATGTAGATAGCGCCATCTAACGAACGCAGTAGAATTTCAACGCTATTTTCATAAATGCCATGATTTTTCAAGGATAATTCTACGAGCAAAAAAAAAAGACCAAACTTCCACTTTTATTCTCAAAAGAATGTGGAAAATCGTAGTAAATCTGGCAAATTATCGTAATCTTACACCAACCAAACCGATTTGCCGACAAAGTATTCACTCACACACATTGAGTCCCATCTATCTGAGTATGCATGACATCGACGTTTGTGAAAGTCTGCTTGTCTCATTCGTACGCACCCGCCTCTACTCGAAATACTTATTGTCGCGTTTTGGAGTTTGAACATACAAATATTCAACCCAAAACAATAGATACATAGAGTTATTTGAAACAGAACCAAAAAATAGTAAAAACATTGCAGTGTGGAAAATACGTTTGTGTTCATATCAAGTGATTGTGGCCTTTTTCTTCCATTGATACGATAAAAAAAATAACGCACACGATTCTTGAGCTCTCGACAAATTCCATTTTATTTGTTTTTTTTTTTTCTCATTTTTCTAATCTGCGAAAAATCAAATTTCGTTCGCCGATTAGGTGATAACCGATTATTGGGTGATTTGATCATCAAGCGATTTAAAGTCAATTCGTTTAGCTACGAATTGCATTTTTTTTCTTCACATCCTGGCCCATCGTAACGTCGGCCAAAATGAGTAATTGCTTTAGTTCGCCCGACGAAAATAAAGATGAACAAGTCTACAAGCCAGCAAATGCACGAGGATGCACAGATGTTTTCTGGCTCGTATTGTACATCATTTTTTGGCTGTTTATGGTAAGCAAATTTTGACATCTTAAAATTACACCAAACAAAAGATTCATTAAGTAAATGCAATTTTGTTCGTTCACCCTATTGAATTGATAGTGCTCCTTTAGAATAAAAAAAATAGGGGGCTTTGTTTTGTCATGATTATTTATGACAAAATTAAATTAAATTTGCCGCACTCCCACTAGTTTTTTTTCGGTGTGTTTTCCGTATAATGTATTCACGAATCTGGTGCGTTAAAGGATAACAAATAGTGTTGCGTGTTTGAAAATCGTCAGTGTTTGAATTTCGCTTTTCACTGCGGTCATTAACCGTATTTTGACTATCCCTTGTGTACAATAAAGTCATACGCATCGGCTGTGTCGTGCAAATTTGTGGAGAATGGAGAACCATTAGTCATTTGTGATTTTTGCATGTGTTAATTAAGTGCGCCCATATTTATATGAATGACCACAAAGCGAAGCATTATTTTTTTACTCTCTCTCCCTCCCTCCCTCTTTCTTTGTGCTTTCTATTCTGAACAGATGAAGAAAAAAAATCCACTCGAATTTAATTTATAAAATGTCTCATTTCAGATTGGTATTGCGGTGTTTGCATTTGTATATGGGAATCCGGTTCGTTTAATTAACGGCTTCGATTCGTTCGGCAACACGTGTGGGGTGGAGAAAAATGAAAAATTTCAAAATTTTAAACTCTCCGGCCTGAATACGATCGATAAGCCAAATGTAATGTTCCTTGACATTAAGGAATGGCGCCAAACACTGAAGCTATGCGTAAAAAGTTGTCCAGACCGTAACATCATTACCAAAGATCAATTGTACCAGTACTACAAAGAAACCGATAGTCACTTATGCCGATATGATTTTAATATGTCACTATTGGCAGCCCCCATTCCAAAAAATATGAGCTATTTCAATATTCTTGGACCCTGCCCCGAGCTACCCATCTATGAAAGGTAAATTAAAATTGTGATCGACATGCTTGTGCTTGTGTGTGTATGTCTGTGTATGCTAACATAACAATTGTCCATATGATCTCATCAATTATGAATTGCCCCGTCAATAAAATGTATGAATTAATTTTCAACAGCACCGCTTTGTTACATCGGTGCATTCCAACCGGTCATGATGCCATCCAAGAAGCGTACGAACTGTTAAACTCATGGAGTGTTGCCCAGCAATTATTCAGCGATTTGTACAGCACTTGGCAAACCGTTCTAATCATGTGCTTCGTAGCTTTTGGTTTGTTTTCTTTCATTTTTTACACATTCATTCCGTTTTGTCTATTCTTTTGAATAAATGTCGCGCTATAATTTTGTTATCACATGGATTCAACCAAATTTGTGTCATTTGTTTATTTCAATACAGTTCTTTCGATATTTATGATTGGTTTGATGGGCGTTCTGACCAGCATAATTTCATGGTTGATTTGTGTATTTGCTGTCATCGCAAGCATTGCAATCACCGTTGTACTGTGGCTGACATATTTCGATGTACGCAAGACCCAAGATGCCAAGATAAAATACTCCTTTTTTGAGGAATTCCTGCGAAATGAAACTATGATTTATTCTATGGCAATAATAGCCACCGTTATTATGGTAAACCCCGATTTTACATTGATTTACTCGCTTCGACTTAATGACACGCAACCAAACATTTTGGCCAAATATTCATTTAATTCAATTATTTTGTTTCTTATTGCGCGTTTAGATTGTCGTTATAATCGTGGTGTGTATGTTACGAAAGAGATTAAGCGGCATGGCTGCTTTATTTGAAGAGGCTAGCAATTGTATGTTGGAGATGCCATCGCTAGTGCTTCCATCGGTTCTTGCTTCAATTCTGCTCTCGTTATTCCTTGCATTTTGGATTGCGGTCGTTGTATGTTTGGCCACCGCAAATTATCCCGGCATAAAACCATTACTTAAACAAACCCCAAGCAACATTACTGAAATGACCGCCGCACCATCACCACCGCTACGTATACGAAACAACACAGACGTCGATTATAAGTCATTCACTCTAATCGAATACCACGAAGCCGATGTATTACAAAACATGCTCTGGTTCTATTTTATCGGATTGATTTGGACATGCGAATTCATATTTGGTAAGCAGATTAATGTAAATAAGCAACAAAGCACACGATTTGAACAAATCGGATGTAATTTACCTGCTTTTGGGAGCTGTAATTGCATTTTTGTCAAAGTATTTATAGCAATTGTTGGTCGTTGTGTTCAATAATTTCTATTAAGAAAAGAAAACTGAACAGCAAACTTGTGTGCAAAATATAATCGATATTTTTAATACTCATCGACCGTTTGCTTTTAGCATGCCAACAATTGGCTTTGGCTGGTGCGGTCGTATTTTGGTACTTCCGCAAACCAACCGATTCACCGGTTACAACTGCCATCTGTAAACTTTTGAAATACAACCTGGGATCGGCTGCAAAAGGATCAATTCTTATTACTTTATTCCAAGTTCCTCGCTTGATTTTGACCTTTTTATACGCAAAGTGAGTAATTCTAGATTTTTTCTATGATTTTTAATCAAAATCGTTTATTATACATTTTTACTAAACACTTTCCGTTTTTTACTCCCAAATTGAAACAGGATGAAGAAGGGAAGCGATAAGGGATCGGAGTGTGCGCAATGTTGCATGAAGTCGTGCATTTGCTGCTTCTGGTTTCTCGAAAAATTCCTCCGCTTTTTGAATCACAACGCATACACTGTCATAGGTAGGGAAATTTGAAAATTGTTGTAGTGGAATGGGACGGAAATTTCATGTAATTTCACTAGGGGCATATGAGTAAATTTTACCACGCAAATTTACACAAATTCAAGCAAGTTTGTACTAAATTATGCAAGTTAATTGATGTATATTTGATGCAAACTTGTAAAATTTGAACGAATTTGCCCGATTATACGAATTTGCCCGCCATACTTTTTCATATTTGCCGTATTTGTCATATTTGAATATACTTTGCCATATTTGGCTATATTTGTCATATTGGAAGTGGCAAATATATATGTTTATTGCCAAATATGACAAGTTTGCGCAAGTTTTTGAAAATATATCAAAATTTAGAAAAATATCGCTATCAACACAAATGTCATTTGCCCCAATTTCACGTGGAAAATCCAAATCATCAAAAATGGTTTAATCAATATCATCACATTTTATTGACATTTCCGAAATTATTTTTGGTACCATACACTATACCTTATGAACTTTGATTTTTGGTTTATCGATTAATTCCTACCTCATTTCTGGGAAAAAAACAAAACATTTTTTCTTTCATTTTCTCTGAAAAATCATTTAATTCGATTCCTTCATCCCATAGCCATTGAAAATATCAACTTTTGTCCGGCTGCTGGAGTTGTAAGTTTCATTGAAATTTTCTTCCATTTCTTCTTTGCATGCTAAATCTTAAACAAAATCCTATCTCTCCCTTGCTGGTTCTATTTCTCCTTTAAGGCTTGGAATGCTTTGATGGCAAATAGCATTCAAGTGGCAACAATCAATGGAATTGGTGATTTTATTCTATTCTTGGGCAAATTGGCGGTGGGAATTGTTTGTGGATTGGTCAGTGTTTTGCTGTTGCGCAATCGTGAGGATATCCACTTCTACATGATTCCATGCATTTTCATTGGAGTCTTTGCATTCTTTATTGCCCATATCATCCTCTCTCTATTCGAGGTGACGATTCAAATAATATAAATTAAAATCAATTCTTACTGTATTAATTATTTTTAAAAAATCAATTTAATTTTTAGATGGTGGTTGATACACTATTCTTGTGTGTATGTGAGGTGAGTTAGTGCTGAATTTCCAAAATTATAATGTGAATCATTAAAATTCATGGTTTTTTTTCTGACTTAGGATCGTGCCATCAATGGACCAAATGGAAGATACAATGATTCCAAATTGGCTCATTTGCTGGGTGAAGAACCGACCGAACAACTCGATGGCCAAGTCGTCGAAGAGACCATACGTCAGGTTGAAATGGCACCAATCAATCGACAGCCATTCAGCTCACACGCCTGAGTATCGTTGACAGGGAAATAAATCGACATAAACCGGGCGGATTTAATTGATGTGCCTGTGTAAGCGCTATTACTTTTAGAGGCTTTGATATGAGTTTTATATTCGTGTCCATGACGAAATACAAAATTCGACCAGTGTGTTTATGAACAAAATGAAGAACCTAACAACAAAAATAACGGTTAGCTTTAATAATTTCTAAATTATTTTTCGATGTCTAGTTGATATTGTATTTTTGCTTTAAGCTTCATTTTTACCGTCCGATGTGACATAAAATTTCTAATCAACTGTGTGGTTTAGTTAAGAGACCAAAACAGAAATGTGATGGAATTTTTTTTGCACAGTATATTCTCTACGGTAAACAAACAAAAAAGTGATTTTTTGAGCAACGACGAATAAGAAACGCACTTAATTAGTTTTTACTAATCTCATTGCATCTAATTTACAACGAATTGTTATAATTGCGCGTTATTGCACATGGATTTCTCATCTCAAGTTGATTGCGACTTGAATGTCCCCGTATAGGAAACATTAACATATGGAGAATTTTGATAACAATTCGTTTTATCCAATTTCACTAGAACAAAACCATTTCCTAACAAAAAAAATTCTATCGTATACTTCAAGTTCTGATTTGCTACATTGAAATCCTATGAACGCTTTGCTCGTAAAATACTATGTGCCTAAATTTTGCGATGATTGTATTTCAATGATTGGAGCCACATCGAATGGCTGAATCGCACTCAATAAAGTTGAATCGCCAATGAATCGAAGGCACGAAAAGCTTCATCAAATATTTGGCATTCCTCACAATGTCTCGAATTAGCGAAATCTATCCAAAGTATTGAACTATATGTACGAAATTCCAAATTGTTTCAGCAAAAAGCATTCCATTCATATCGGAACATTGCAAGTGCATATGCCAATTCTTTTTTTTATCATTTAAAATTCGTCCAACTATTCTCTATACGGCATTGCATGCCAATAAATTGTAATTGATGTAAACACACACACACATACACCGAGCACATTTATTGCTAAACGCACATTTATATGACGCACTACGCACTACGCACTAACCAATAACATTCAAATTGTCAGTATTCGTAATGATTGTTTTGCAGAATCATTAACCCAACATCCATTGGTATGGCAGAGAAAAATTATTGTTTCCATTTTGCTAAATGTCGTTTCGTAGATTTTTGATACGATTTAGCGCAATCAAGTGAATCACGTTTTTTTTTGTGCTGGTGTCTACTGTTCATCGCAGTAGTTGCACGCACAACTTCCATTTATACAATGAACAGAAAAGGCAATAATAATCACTTTTATTTTATTGAGTACAAAACTATATAAACCATTGCATCTTCCATTGCGAGATCAGCATTAAGTCAGACAAAAAAAAGAAACAACAACGAATAAAATTAACATTTCAAGAGTCCATTTTTTCTGCTTTTCTCCTATAGATGAGAGTATATGAGAGTATTTTATAAAAGTATTCAAAGCATTTACAAGATAATATTTTAAAAATATATTCGTATTTATACATCATTTTTTTAAAATCTGAAAATTTAACAAAGTTAAACAACATTAAAAGATCAACGCGTGTATTATAAATATATTTATCACAAATAAAAATTGAAATAGATTCAAATGATTGTTTTATTTTTCAATTGATGAATACGTGTGCCGTAATCTGCCGAAATTCTTACGTAATATCAATCTTATGGAATTTATCTGTCTGGTTGTGTTTTTGGTTTACATCTTGTTTACATATGTAAAACAGCTATTTGATTGGTACTTTGCATTTAGTAATTGCAACAATAAAAATGTCAATCTTAAACAGCCCCTGAGCACATTCAATACATATAATCGATGATGACGATGTGAATACGACCAACAACAACAAAACCGACACACACACACACACACACACACACACACACACACACACACACACATCATTTAGTGTCACCAATAAGTGCCAACGATGATTAAATGAATGTGTCCGAAAATGGGAATTTATCGAGGTTTAGCGTCTGCATTCTATTTCTACGTGACCCAGATTGGATGGCAAAAGAATCTAAAATGAAGCGATGTGTGGAATAATTTCCTTTTCAAAATCAATTCCAATACGCAAATAAATTGCCAACGAAAAAAGAAAAAAAAAACCGATTTTCAAAAAAACATATTCAACCAATGGATATGGGTATTTGGTATTGTATCAATTCGTTATCAAAGTGTGCAAGATAAATGGCACTGGTTGAAAAAACGCATTCATCCAGTCTTCACAACAATCAAACACGTTTCATCTTGTCCACCAGCTTAACAACAGCAACAGCAACAGCAACAACAGCAATAATAACACAACAACGACAAGAAAAAAACAAATGGCTCGAATCATTTGTTGCTTTTATTTTTCTTTCATTTCTTTCTCTCTTTCTCCATTCCGTATGTAATGAATGGTGAGTTTTGATTTCAATGCAAAACTACTTAATAGATAATAGTATTTGTATTGGGAGCATTGAAGCAAAGATGAAACGAAAGAAGAAGAAGAGAATCGTGTGTACATGTGAAGAAACGGGCAAGAGTGGAAAAACGGAATCGACAAAAGAAAACGAAATAACAGCCTCAACAGCAGCACAGAAGCAATAACAACTGTGGCTACGTCGACTACGACCACGACGATGACGATGACGACGACGACGACGACGACGACGGAAAAAAAGAAAACAATTACCAAGACGCGACATTGACAGTGGACACAACAATAAAAATGCGTTGAGCATCGCTGATCTATCTAGTGCAGGGGACACTGAGTTCGTGCCGCTCAATCCCATATCCACACAATCTTGTTTTCAATACTTCAACGCTTAGTTGCTTCGATATTTTTCCTCTCAGCTCACGTTGTGTGTTGCTGCTGCCGTTTTTTTTTTCTTCGCTGTGCTTCTTACATTTATTTCTCTTTATTATTTCTATACTTTAATCATTCTCCGCTGCCTTTTCTATTTGTTTCATACTTCCACTCCTTTCGCGATGTGTGTATATATACTTGGTCCGATAAACGCTCGTTTCGAATTGGATATATTTAAAGCAACAAATTTATTTTATTTTGCCATTTCGTAAGCAGATGCGGTAAATTTATTGGTGCGGTTTTCGTTGGCGACTAAAACCGTTGACGACGTGATATGCGTATGAAAATGTGTGATATCCTCATTAGAGGTTTCATTTCATCCTCCTGATGGTTTGTTTGATCGTTCCACCGATAGATTGCGAACTTGATGTGTATCTGCTGTCATTTATCAAAAGAGCGTGTGTGTTGGAGGTGTTGTTTTTGAGGGGCAAAAAGAAGAGAAAGACACTTGATTTAAAGCGATCAAAGGGACAGAAGCCATCAAACCAACAAATTCGAGGTATAGATCGGATTGTGTGTATATGAAAGAGAGAGCGAAAGCGAGATTAAGAGAACATATTTGCGCTAAACAAACACCGAATGTATGGTGCAGTGTTGTACGAGATTGTACGGTGGCCAAGCTGTGCTGTACGGTGTTGTGTGTTGCGCGCTCGCAATTCCGTATCACATGAAAAATCCGTAGCGCCAAACGTACTTTCGGCTTCTGATGTTTATGACTGTAATCAGGTAGAGCTCGTGGTTTGTGAGCAGCAAGCGAAAGCAGCAGTGTTGCACTTGACTCTTAACGCTCTAACATGAAACTTATCACTATTTTTCAACCAATTTATCCGTATTTAACCGTGTTTTTATTTATTTATTTATTTTTATAGATTTTTGTGTTTTGTGGGTGCTTTTGGGTTCGTCGTTTTATGTTTGTGATACGACCAATTCTATTGACTGATTTCAGTTAAGCGCTTTAAGCGCCCAAATTGTGTATGTGTGTTGTGAAACAATAAAATTGAATAGACAGATCCAGAAGAAACAAGAACGAATCCATTGCAAAAAAAAGAAGAAAAGATTCTTTGTGGACTGGTGGTGTTTACTGTTAAATTTTCTGTTAATCTATTCATCGAACGTGCTTCAGAGATTTTCGTGCATAATTTCAGCCAGTGTGTGTAATGGTAGTACAGTACGGTACGCCCAACTAATATAACAGTGGATATTGAGAAAAAAGACTGAGAAGGAAAAAAAATGTAAGAAAACACGTTCAATTTTGTGTGCACATAAGAAAAATGTTAAGGCTTTTATTTAACGTTTTTCTTCGTTTTTTTTTTGCAAAACTGTGCACGAGAGAGCAAAAGCAAATCATATTGAACGCGTGCGCGCTCTCTGCAGAATGTCAAAACAAAATTCCACAACAAGTTTGTGAACTAATCATCATCGTTTAATGTGGTGCTGAATGTCATTTTTGTGGACATGGAAATATACGCGAAACAACAACAACAAACACACCAAATATAAAGAGAGATAAGGAAAAAAAATGTGCGCACGCATCACGCCGCCGCACAAAATCCGAGACAACATGAAGTGAGCGAAAAATGCTGGACAGTAGAAAAAAGCAACAAAAACAACAACAAAACAAACGAAAACTGTTAATAAAAGTTGATTAAACTGTTGATTAGCTTTTGGTACAGGCCCCACAGTTCTTTTTTTCTTCTTTTCATGATGAGTTGAATCGTCAACCAAACGGCGACATTTATTATTTACTGATACACTTTAGACGATGTGGCGGTCATTCTAATGCAAATTTCATTCGGTAAAATTTATATCGAATGCTTTAAGTTTGATAAGACAAAGATGAACAAACAAACAAAATAATAATAAATAGTCAACACATAACGATGAAATAGCAAACTAAAAGAACTGAACCGGTTCCATGGCGATGACGGTTGGTCATTCGATACACGACAAAATCACCAAAATTGAGCTATTTCTTTGTTGCTGTTCATTTTGAAAGAAAATGTTTCACTGAATTCAGTGTCGAATTAATTGCCTTTTGACAAAAATAATCGATCAAAATTAAAAGCTTTACACTTTCTCATCGAAAAGTTGATCCAATCTCTGTGCGACGCTTTTTTTTCTTCGTCTTCCTTTAACGGTGCATCATTCCATTGGCTATATTTTCAACTGAAGAAAGCTAAATAAAAACAACAACAACAACTAAAATCACATCGGGCATATTTTCGCGTCCCGACAACAGAATTCTTGCACCAAAAATTAAACTTGATTTTTTGTTTGTTTGGGAAATCGGCTTTCAACATGCGTAGCATTCTTTCACGCTTCATCAAATGGTTGGATTGTGCGCGCGGGCGGGCGGGCGCGCTTTTCCATCGTCCAGTGATACGAAAATCGATTCTTCAAAAATTACCAACAACAATAACAACAACATGAACGAAAAAATAGAAGTAACAACAGTTGTAAGCAAAGCAGAAAATCCATTCAATTAGAAAATGTGCATACTTTTTAAGGCAATATTGCTTTTTTGTTACAATCGAAACAAAAGTGTTTCTTCAAATTGATCGGCCGGCACGAATGCAAATGCACTCCGTTTTTCTTCATCTGTTGTGCTATTGTGTGTTGTATTGTTGTGTACAATATGGAATAGGCGAGCGCGGAGCGCACCGCGAACATCGATGTAAAACTAACCTTCCGCCATTTCTTCCGTTGCCATATCCACACTTTACTCTCTCTCTCTCTCTCTCTCTCTCTCTCTCTCTCTCTCACTCTCTCCCTCTATCTTTCTATCTTTCTCTTTTGATAAATCGGCAAGCGAGACAGAGAGCGCGCACACGATCATTCGATGCAACATGAAGAGTTTTGCTGTGTACTGCCCAATGTAATGTGTGTTTTAATCGCTTGGACACGACTCGGATGGTATTTAAAATTATAACATGTTAATTGGGATAGAAAACATTGCAGCGGAATCAAAAGCGATCATGTAGAACATTGCAATCGAGTTGCGCTCATCTATCGCGTTGTGTTTGCGCGCATTCGGATTAAAGAGAAATCGAATAAAATCAAATCAAAATAATTTGATTATTTTCAGTGCAGTTAGGAAATTGGTTTGTACTTTCTTTGCGCAGGGAAAATCTTCAAAACACAGTGCACTGTTTGGTTGGCCGTTAGGTTCATTATTTGATGTCTCTCTGTGTGTATGTTCTGTTTGCTTCTTTCTTCTGCTTTTTCTTTGAAACGAAAGAAGCAAATTAACGATCATTAATTTAACAAATCAAACCGTTCGGTTAAAAGCTTTCGATAAATGCCAAACGTGATGCTGAGATAACCTATAATACCCGTATTCGGTTGCCAGTATTTTTTTCTTCCTCAAAAACAAAGCGCAAATACTATCTTGGATAAAGAATTGTGCTATTGTATGAGAGAGATGAATGAATGAACGAACTCACCTAATTGCACACATTGCACAGTGGTCACTTTTTTGAAAGTATCGATCGTGTATGCGTGTATGTGTGTTGATTTGACACCTTTGGTGCAAGTGCACCATAACGATATTATACCGTAATTTAAAAGCACACATAACAGGTACTAATTTTGAATCATATTTTTTGCTACTATAATTGTTGTTGTTGTTGTTTCTTCGCCAAAGCGAATTATATCATGATATCCATATGTATATATTCTGGCAAGACAATTTTCAACTTGACATGTTATGCATTTATATGTGTGTGTGTTTAGCTGTGAGACGTGAATGTCGCCGCGCGCGAATTTTTTTCTTCTTCTATTGCCTTCATTTCGTTGTCTGTTGGCCGTGCGTTATTAATAACAAATCATTGCTAAAACTCAATTTAGCCCAAGTATTGCTTAATGATTGCATTGTAGATGAAATCATAAATACTATACATACATATATATATATACATATTTTTTTTCTTCATCGTTTGGTTCGCGCTCGTTCGTTCATTGATTCGTGGTGTTGTTGTTTATCAGACATCGTTGAGTTGCAAAGTACAATGTGTAATGCTTGGTTTACGTTGGCGTTTTATATGTACGTTCAGTAGGATTTCCAACTTTTGTAATACATCGAGTGTAGACTGAAGCGAATCGAGGTCTGTTGTGGTATTATATACTATCCAACATGCATTAGAAATTATCGAAAGTGTATTAGACACAGATTGAATTTGTTTTTTTTTTCTTCTTTCTTTCTTCTGTCTATTTTCTTGATTTTTCTTTCGTGTACTATATTGCATTTTTCTTCGTGCTCTTCTTAGCTCTTCTCGGTTTATCTTTGCTATCTCAATTTTTTTTAGTGCCGTTTTCCTTCTTTCGACCGAAATGATTGGGTTTGTGTCGATTTTTGCGTTCGTGCCAAATTATCTATATAAGAATCATTTATTAAAGTACATCGTATATGTATAAATTATCAGCAGGAAATAGAGGCGCGAAATAGAATTAAAAGCAATTTCGGTGTTTGTAAATGTTTGTTTTCGAATTCATTTCAAAATGTGTGGTGCATGCATTGAATGTAAACGGTGCAAAATCCTAAATCGGAAAACGACAATTTACATTTGAAATGCATGCCGTTTCTCTAACTCATCCAATTTTTTTTTGTACCTTTTGCAGGCCAATTGAAATAACACACACAGAAACATGCATGACACACTTCAATCGGCATTAAATTGCGCCCAAATTATTCGATTGCCGTGCAAATTGCGAAAGATTTACGTGTCGATCAAACAGAAGTGAGGCGACCTCAAGCCACCCCCTCAGAAAAAAGTAATTATTATGCGCTTGTTCAAAAGTCGAAAGTCAGGTGAATACAGTGACGTTTCATCGGTAGTGGCCAATGAAAATGATCCACATGTTAAAATTGTGAGTTGCAATTCGCAACAAGAATTTCATAACGACGCAAATAATATAGAAAACGGAAGCGCCGCCGACAACAACCAATCACAACAGCAACAACAACAACCAGATGCCAATGATAATTCGACAAATGGCTTTTTGGATGAACAAAAAAAGCAGCTACACATTCATCATAATAATATTCCATATAGTTTGAAGTCAAGTGATAACGGTTGCAACGATAAATTTACACCCATTCCGGATTGCGATCAAATTGATGAATCGACCAACATTTATGAAGACACTTCTTCAGACAATTCGTCGACGACGACAGCAGCCAAGACGTCATCGGCGGCGGCGGCAACGATGCAGGAAACTAAATTATATTCTGATTCAACCAGTGATTTTATTAACGAACTTTTCGGTACTTTACTTTCAATTCATATTTCCCCTTCAATACACATTGTTTTTCATTTATTTTAAGCAAAGAGAATGTACTTCACATTCTCTTTATGAAAAAAAAAACTCTGTGTCTCGTGAATGAAAAAGAATGTGTAATGAACAGAAAAAAAACTAAATCATAAATAACAAGAGTCCCGAAAAAAAAACTATATTAACGCATGAATTTCGCTTCACACAGCCACACTCGATAATTTAGAAACAAAACTATCGATCCAAGACGACAACGATTCGATCAGCATTGATACAATCAGCGAAAATGTCGACATCAAATCCGAATCATCAACCAATTCAACCGATGGCAAAATCAAATTCATTGGACAGAATGGTATTTATGTTTTATGTTTGATCAAAAATTTAAAATCAGAAATGAACGAGAAGAAAAAACCTTGCAAAAATTCATTTTTTTCTTGCTTCTCTTCTATGAGTTGTGAGAAAACATGTTTTTTTTGTTGCAGCAAATATTTTGTTTCTTTGTTTTTATTGCGAAATAAATATTTTAACTGCCTCGTATAAAAAGCAACAAGATTCTTTCATCTCACCTGTAGGTCAATTGCCAGACTATAAAGTTGTTAAAGCCGTTCCAGTTATTGTTTTAGATAGCGACGGGCCGAAAGAGTCGAGAAACAGTAAGTCGAAGTGTTATTGAACTAAAATTGAAAAACGATATTCGCATAAAAACTTTTGATGTATACTTGGAAATGGGTTTAATCAAAGATGGATTTGAATTGAATCAGATAGTGTATTGAACCCATAAAATTTCATCACAGAAGAGGAAAAAAAAATGTTCATAGTCTAACTAAAGGAAGTTGAAGCTTTTTGATAACTTGACTAATATCTTTGCGTTTCTTCTTTTATCACTCGCAGTGTTTACATGGGGTCGTCGAATGAGTAAGAAATTCGAGCTGTTGCGTCGCAATGACAGTCGGAAGATGCACGAGGATGGATCGGCATCCGGTGATCTGAATGGTCGTAGTGTATTTACGTTGAAAAATATGCCAAAGCCTGGCGATGAACCGAGTCCGATGGCAGCAACAGTAACAACAACAACACCGTCACCACCATCAAACAGCATCAATAGCTATTCGTTTAAGACGTTTTTCCATCGCATCGGATCGACTGGAATGCTTAGCCGCAGTAACCAAAGCAATTCAAAGCAGTTGAATGACACACGAACGTTATACAGAAGCTCGTCAACTAGTCAACTAAATACACCGTCGTATGTAAAAGGTGATGATCCAACCGATGGCATTAATTTGTGCAATCGACCAAAAACGCACGAGACTAAAATAAAGAGCGAGAATAAACATCATCATCATCATCATCATCATCATCTTCATGTGAATGACAATTATTTGAATAAGAATGCACCAGTGAAAGCTGCAAGTTATGATGACATTGCACATGTGGCTGCTAATGAGCAAGCATCAAAACGATCAAATTTCCCATACGCATTTTTGCGATCAAAGCTATCGGTGCTACCGGAAGAGAATGGTGGCTCGGTAATCAATCAAAAGCGAATACTTCGAGAGATGCACATGCTCGACAGCAGTTCCATTGATTTTAAAGCACAACCAGTGATTGACGGTGATGGTGACGGCGATGACAACGACAACGAGAACAACAACAGTAAGCAACGACATCAACAATCAACCGAAGATGTGGTTGAGAATAATAGTAATACGGAACATTCGACACCAAATAAAAATGGCACATGTGATGCGCATCCGCAATCACCACGATTCACATATCAAAGATTTAGCAATTGCTTCAGTTCAAATGAATCTGGATACGATAGTGATAACAGACACACCGAAGAGCACAACAACGGAACAAAATCAACTACTCCCAAAGAGGAGTTCAGTGTGCGCCGATTGAGCGCAAAATTTACACCTCAACTTAGTATACGCAAACGATATAAACATGTGAAATTACAACGAAAATCACTGAACGATGTGGTCGGCATCGAGGTGATATCAATGGAAAATGACCTGGAATGTCGGTATATTGTTTCAAATTTATCTGGATTGGCTCAGGCCGATGGGCGAATTTGTGTCGGAGACGAGGTCCTCAACGTAAACTGCATCGATTTACGTGGAATGAAATCGTATGAGAAGCACGGAGCCTATGGAAATGTTCAAGAGATGCTGTCAACATTTGTTGACGATTCTGTAGAGCTTGTCATTACACATGACGAGCCAACTACATGCGGCGATAGACTGGACACCAAACTCAAAACAGATTTGCATATCGGTAATTACTTTTTCTTTTGAAATTTCGTTTTTTTCCATCGTCTGATCATCACATTTTGCCATGTCGACTGATGAAATCGCAGTGAATCCACCACAAATAAATTATTTCCGTCTTTTTTTATTGCGATTAGGCTATGATTTATCTACAAGAACATCAGCTAATTACAGCTGCAACGACACAAATGGCACACAATTTTCGGAGAAGCCACTGATCGATGTGGCGATGCCGACTTTAAATCGACCAAAGAATGTTTGTATGGCATGGAACAACCGTGCAACCGAATTGAAACCGCTTCAAAATTTTGAAACCTATGTACCGGTGTACGGCGATAAAAATAAAACCGCAAATAACGAAGAGCGATGGCGAATTTTAGGTAAAAAACGAATCGATCTTTTATCAAAATATGGCTATTCATCGCATAGAGAAACAAAAGCAACTGAAACCTCGACCGCACATGACAATCAGTATGCAACCGAAAATAAGCATAAGCACATTAAATTTGATAATTGTTACATTTTGGGCGAAACAAAACTCACACCATATCAAAATACTCAGCAAATGCGGGATGGTAAAACGCAAAATCGCCACAGTTTTTGCGAATACAAACCATTTTCGGCGCGAAAAATCGACTTTCCGAAATTGAAATTTTACACACCAATGGACTATAAATCTATTCACTTTAATCAAGATTTAAGCAAAAATCCCGTCGAAAAATCGAAACCGCTACATACATCGATCGAATCGGACACATTGATTGGAGAAAGTGTATCGAACGTGGTCCAACAGCATTCGCACAAACGATTGACAACGATTCAATTACCAAACGAATTGGAGGACATGAGCATCGGACCATTTTGCGATCAAAAAACGTTTAAAGAAAAAGAAACCGAAAGTAAGACGGTTTAATTAATTATTGATCAATGATTTTTTTATTATTATTATTATTTTTTTTAATTAACAACATTTAATAACGACAATTTTCTTCTTCGGTTTGCAGACCAAAAAGATCATCAAAAGTTCATATTCTTCAAGGTGTACTTCCAAAAAGGTGTCGGAATGAAGTCGCTTGGGTTTAGTATCGTGGGCGGTCGTGATTCACCCAAAGGTAGCATCGGTATTTTTGTTAAAACCATTTTTAGTAGTGGTCAAGCGAGTGACAATGGAAACCTCTTGGCTGGTAAGCTTTTACATTTCTCAACTTTATTATTGTTGGATTAATTAATCCAAATTCGACAAATTGTCAAACAGACCAAATTTAAATTGCGATCGGGTAATTTATTAATCTCAACATTTTTCCCACAGGTGATGAAATACTGTCATTGAATAATGAATCGTTGAAAGGTGCCAGCCATCTGGATGTAATTGCCATGTTTAAAAATATCAAAGAGGGACCCGTGATGCTGGACGTTAAGCGACGAAAAACGTGAGTGTGCATGAACTTTTTTGTCCCATTGAATCATGTATACCTCCTGATCAGCATTGATGATCAGAAGAAATCAGTTCACCTTTGACGATCTTTTTCCTTTTTAATTCACATTTTTAGAACGATGCGTGCAAAGTCTTTGGACAGTGTACAATGAATCGTTTATAGTTTCAACGAAGTTTCGATTCAAAGAGGCGACTTCCGCGATTCTTGCGGTATATATAAGAATTTGTAAATATCCTTCCGTTTGCAAAATAGCAGCAAGCTAAAAAGAAGAAATATCCAGACTAAGCGCAACAAACATTTTTTCGAGTGACAACATAGATGATAAAATACAGTAAAATGTCTATGCATCTGCACATGTGAATGCATATTTTATTAAATAATTTTGTGTATGTCTGTGTCGTTTAAATTGTAAACTTTGTAAATACATCATTTTTGTTTGTTTGTTTCTTTCTTCATTACTTTAAAATACAAATTTTTATTTTTATGAATGTACTAAATAGAACAGAATTCGATTCGTTATAGGCCTACAAAGATGTTATTTAAAAAATAAAATACAATCAAAACATGATGAACCAATCAATCGACAGTGTGTATGTTGTGTGTTTTTTTGTTGTTCATTTTTATTGTTTGTTTAATCCTTAAAATTTAATTTGCAATTATCATTTTGCATTTAGACTAGAGACTTGGAAGTTGAATTGCGATAACTAGAAGTCCAAAATTTATAGAAAACAAAATCTCACTCCAAGAAAAAACAGAGAATTTTTCTTTACACAGAAATCTTTTGAGCCAAATGGCCAAAACGTCATAAGAACTGACTATTTAAGTTATTTTAATAATTTCGAATATCCACGACACAGAAGAGTCGCAGTTTCCTTCTGATAAAAAAAATGTCCGCAAACCAAATGTTTGCATCGTATGAATGAATACAAAATGCGTCCTTCTTCTAAAATTCTACTATGATTTTGTCACGTGTTACAGATAATCTATTCTCCACTAATTATTATTAAAAAGAATAAAGAGAGAAACATCTAATATCTAGAATATTCACGCGTTGGAAAATAAAAATGAAAATGGTTAAAATTGATCATAATGGAGGGCAATCGAATGCGTTATTTTAAGTGATTGAATATTGTAATAATGACTGATAAAATAGTGGTCCGTTGATTGTCCCGCTGCTGACATCAATTTTATCGATTCTCTCGATTATGAATGCATTATTTCCTTCGTTGTCTGTTATTATTGCTTTGAAATTTATTTTTCTTCTGAAGAACGAAATCAACTTCGTTTTTTTGTTTGATACCACTGAAAGTGATTGGGAGACTTTTTGATGATTGCAAGCAGTATCTTATTGAAATGCACTAGGCTTATGTATTTGTGTCAATTTGCTGTAGATATTTGGAGATCACGGAATTCAGGGTGCTAAACGATGGACGCTCCTTGGGATTTGTCTTCCAACATAACAACTGCAGTTACATGTAATGGTGAAACAAGAAAAATTCTATTGTAGACAATTTCAATTTGTGACGATTGTCTGAAAACGTATTTCTTAAGGGAGTACAAAAAACGTTTGTCGAATAAATACAGTTTGTGATGTATTATTTTACAAATTTCCTCGGTAACAATCGCAACGCCATCTAGATCTACTTAAGAATTGTACGTGACGAATGGCGCTGTGATGCAGCGGTGAGGTCAAAAATCCGAAAATAATAGAATCGACTAACGTCTTTTGTTCAACTAAAAATAAACCCTAAATGGAAAGATAATTTCGAAATTCTTACCAATGACTTGGAAATATCTTGTGGAACGAAATCGGGCAGTTTGCGATCAATTTGATTGGTTTGCAGCTGCTTTAAATAATCCTCATCGGTCACATTTTCGAGTGGTATTTCGGTGCAGAATGTGAACAGCTCCAACATCAAAACGCCAAATGAATAAATGTCAGTTTTGATGGTATTGTCGTCATCTTCAATGCACTCAGGGGCCATCCATCGTAACGGGACCATACTGTTCTTCAACTTATAGTATTCACGGATATATTTCTCTTTAATATTGGCTGGATACGATATTTTGACGGTTAAATCGGATGTAATGACGCAATTTCGAGCGGCCAAATCTTTGTGCATGTATCGCGCTCGATAAATTGCGTCCATGCCACGTGCGATATGCTGTGCAATTGATAGCAGCTGTGGCAATTTTATTGTGTCCGCTGTTTTGTCGATGTGATTCTTCTGAACGATTCCATTTTTCGATGTGATTTCGGCCAATTGATCGGCTCGTGAACTTAAAAATTCCTTCAAATCGCCAAGATCAGTGTGCTCAAGAACCAAATAATGTGGATCCTTGTCACGGCACAGGCCAAAAAGTTTAACCACATTACGATGCGAAACGGCTCGGAACAATTCCAATTGTCTGCGGAATTCAATGCAAACATTTTCATCTTTGACTTTGTTAAGGGCTTTGATCAATGCATAGTTGACGGTTTCATCGGTATTTTCAGACACTTCTTTAATTTCATCAACGTTTTCTACCGATCCATTCGATTTGCATTGGTCACGCTCATTTTCAACGGTGATGGTCGTGACGACATCCTTGTGCAAATGCTGTTTCAAATCGCCAAACTTCACTCTCGCTGTGTACAAATTACCGAAATCACCACGACCCACCTGAACCATGTCAAATAGAATGGTTCGAGGGATGGTGATTTGATCCAAGTTCGATTTACTCGTGTGCTTTTTTGCATTGTTGGCATTTGCATTTTCCACTTTCGGTGTTTCAGTGATAGGATGATTAATACCATTGCTTGTTCCATTCCATGCCTTTTCAGTCTTTTTCTGATTTCTCTCTGCTAAACACGGCTCATTCTCATCATTCGGATCATTCGGTTTTGTGTCGTTACGTGACAATGTGTCCACATTTTCCTTGGCGATAAGTTGCATTCGATTTTTACGAGCTTTACGCTTCACACGACACCAGAACATTAGACCAATCACCAGAATAATATACGAAAACACGACGGTAACGGTGATTAGCACGGCACGAACGACAAAGAAACTACCTTCTTGCCCATCATCTGTGATCAATTCTTCGGACGCTGCAGAAGAAAATTGTTTTTTTTTTCATTAATTCACCACATAATACTTGTTCGAGTCTACTGGGAATACAGTATAAAATGTTTCACTTACGTCTCACACTTAAATGCGCTTCTTCACGCTTCAAGCCAGCGCTACTGCCAATCGTACATCCATACAGACCCTCATCCTCCAGATGCACCTCGGTGAAGTACAATGTTCCATTGTCCAGAACATTCAAACGGCTTGTGTCCGAGTTGCTAATATTTAAGTAATCAAAGTCTTTGTCCCATTGGATTTTCGGTTTTGGGTGACCAGTGGCCAAACAATGAATCATCACCGAGCCCATTTCGTTCACTTGAATGGCTCCTTGTGGTTTCACCAGAAACTTTGGTGCAATTACTGGCGTCACTACGACCGTTGCACTTATCACTCCTTGGCTATTGACTGCGCGGCATGTGTAATTGCCACGGTCGGATTCAGACACATTTTTAAACACCAAAGTGCCATTTATATCTTCAATCGTTTCAGGTAAATCGCCAGTTGAGTCCTACAAAAAAAACAATGAACAATAATTAGCAAAAAAAGAGGCGAAGAACAATGACTTTCGTAACGGTTTGTCACTTCAAATCCTTTGAAACTTGAAATTCTCTTTGAATTCAAAGGCTCCTTTTGAATGTGAAACGCTCATCTTCAATCTCAAAGACATTCAGTTTCATTATAAACCATTCAAGCTCTCCAATTTCTACAGATGGGCGGACTATCTGATTAAGATTAATTAATCTTAATCAAACACCCAAAATTCGCGATGATTGATACGACCACTTAATCACTTAATCGCTATTAATCATCATTAAGTGATTGTGCAATTGATTAATTAATCATCGATGATGATTAAGTTGTTGTCTTAATCACGATGTCGCCGTGATTAACTGTGACAACTTAATCATGATTAAGTAAATAGTAAATTCTTAATCATGATTAAGATGTGATTAACGAAATGATTGTGTATAATTAATTAATCATGATTAAGTAAATTTACTTAATCATGATTGTGTAAATAGTTAATCATGATTAAGATGTGATTAACGAAATGATTGTGTAGTTTTAATTAATCATTAGACGCCATAATGCAGAAATGTTGAAAATGATTCCGAATCGAAAGTAAACGTTGAAAAAATGGAAAATGGGAATCATTTTTAACATTTCTGCATTTATGGCGTCTAATGATTAATTAATTCTACGCAATCATTTCGTTAATCACATCTTAATCATGATTAAGAATTTACTATTTACTTAATCATGATTAAGTTGTCACAGTTAATCAGGGCGACATCGTGATTAAGACAACAACTTGATCATCATCGATGATTAATTAATCAATTGCACAATCACTTAATCATGATTAATAGCGATTAAGTGATTAAGTGCCATCTTAATCATCCGAAAAATGATTGTGCAAGTGATTAAGTAATCGCAAAACGCCCACCTGTACCAATTTCAATGCAAGAGTGTGAAAAAGAACGACTTACTTTTGTCCATTGGATTTGTGGTGTTGGAGTTCCCTGAACTTTACAGTGAATTTTCCCAACGCTACCGATTTCAAGGCCTTTGTTCGATGTTGGTGGCGGAGCGAATTTTAGCTTTTCAATAATATTCAATTCGGTTTGTTGGACACTGTGAACGCCATTGCCATTTCGAAGGATAGAACACTGCGAATAAGAGTGGAAATTTGAAATGAAATTAAGTAGAGTGTTCTTCAAAGAAGAATCGTTGAAAAAAGGGAATTTCGTCCATTTATTTTATGCATTCAATTCCGTTGTTCGAGTAACTCACCTCATAAACGCCCGCATCTGATGGAATTGTTGATGCAATGGTAATTGATCCATTTTTTGCGTCCATATTAATGCGGCCATCGTCACGGAACGATGGCGTTTCCATTGGATTTCCATTGAATGAATCGCTGCCAATGTCCGACTGACGAATTACTTTGCCATCTTTTTTCCAACGCACCGACAGTTGATTTGCCTTACGATCCAACCGGTTCACATCACAATTGATGGTAACTGAATTGTCTTCGGCAACGCTGATTTTCTTCCGCTTTGATGTTGTCGATGATGACTGACTTCCGCCTTCCGATGCCGAGCGTTTACGATGAAATCGCCCGTTTCGTTCGTAACGGCACAGCAGTGACTTTTCGATGTGGTTTGCGTTTGTGATCTTTGGCTCACAAAATACCGCATAATGTACCATATTGTGTTGTAGTGCATTTGCATGAATTTCAACGCGATACGGTTGGCTGACGACGGTGCCGATTTTATTACGTGCCATACATTTGTAATCGGCATTATCGCTCTGGGTTGGATGTCGAATGACCAAGGGACCGATCGAATTAACCGGTTTACCATTTTTCAGCCATCGTATCTCGTCAATGGGGCTGCCATCAACATGACATTTTAGTATAATTGCCGACAATTTATGCGCATCCAATGTTGACGATGAACTATACACCACTTCCGCAGCTGTTAGCCCTTGAGAACGACGGATAATAGATTGTTTTTTTGTTTGTTTTATATTTGAATTCAGTTCAAAGACAGAGGAAATTCATTAAACTTAATTAGGAATAATTTAAGAGAGAAAGTCGAAACGTTTAACTTGAACAATTATTGGAAACAAGCTTTTTTTGTGAAGGATCCGTTCTCTTTATTCGTGGAGAACATTGTTTGCTGCTGGTGAAAAAGAATTAGCATTTCAATTATTTTGATGAAAGAGCGCATTGAACTTCTGCTGGAGGGAGGGAGAGGTCTATAAACGCAATAAACTCGTTGAATGAATTTAATTTATTTTGAGTGCATTTTCTGCTATTTCAACGTATAAATGCACATAAAGTCAACCGTAATAATGCATAATTTTTTTTTTTGGCAACAAAAGGGTGGTTTAATTTGAAAAGAACATAAATATAAAGTGATATCTTTTTTTGGCTGCTGCTATAACACACACACATGCACGCACAGTAGGAGAAACTAATAATGCTGTGTGTAGTGCTGATAAGCGTCTCCGATATGAGTCAGCTATAGTTGAAAAAAATTTATGACATTTAAATTGCATCTGTGTGGCGCAAATATCGCATTGAGTCTTTATTAGAGTCATCAGATTGTGTGCCAAGAAGGAAAAAGAAAATACCCCATCAAAATGGTTAATATAAAATCTGGAAAATATTGTTTGAGCTTGAATTTTTGATGAGATATTGTGCAACGTATTCGTGTGTGTGTGTGTGTGTTCCTGAACCAATTCATCATAACTGCAAGCGCAAATATGGATGAATAAATGAGTAAGTGTTTGCGCTTGCGAATACAAATGGAATGTTTTGTACGATATAGATCGGTGTTAAATTATATCCCGCTTGACGATGACGTCGACGACGACGATGATGATGGCGATGTGAAATCCAATTTTCGGGACTATTTGAAATTTTTCTGATTCATGCACCTAATCTGTCTTTGCTGCTGTTCAACCAGCAACTTATTCTCCATCTCACGCTCCTTGTCATAAACTCTTATCCAAATCGAAAGGAAATTTTTGTGTTTGATTCAGTGCGCTCAATGACGATCGTAAAATCTTTAACTATATCATAGCACCGACGATTTACGTTCACCTCCCATGGAATACGTATACGTACAATTTTTACTCCTCATATACACCACACCGCACACACACCATAGTTTCACATAGCATATAGCTAAAACACCAAGTTCGGCTTCTATTTGTTAACCGTTCTACCGAGCGCCGCGTTGCTATGACAACATGCATGGCAAGGACTTGGAACAATGTTTCGGAGCGGTGCTCGTAAAATTTTATGACCGTTTTTTATTTCGGCTCAGTACTGTTTATACGGCTTTGTTCGGCAATAATGACGGTGTCGACGATATGGGGACTCGGCTCGCTCTGAATATAACGGTTTTTGCCAGCGCTGGTTCACTGACTGTGTTGAGTGTTATCTGAGTGAGAATGCGAAGCGACACGAGACCGAGAGTGTATTTTTCCACTCTCTTTCTCAAAATGCGAAATGAAATCAGTAGCTAGTTTTTTTCACTCTCTCACTCTCTCTCGGTCGCTAAATTGATCCTGTTCTCTGTTTTTATTCCGTTCCATGTTCTATATGCCTTATGATTTTCCATTGCGCGCTCGATTAGTGAGCGAGAGTTTTTGTTTTACTCTTCGTCTTGTTTTGTGTTTCGAGGGCTTATGAAAAAAAAGAACCGAGCCACTTTTTCAAATTGAAAACAAACCTCAGTTTTTTTTTTGTATCCAATCCGTCTCAATGAAATGGAGTATGAAAAACAGAACATTTTTTTTCGTACAATCAAGTCATTTCGTCATTTTTCATTCAAAAATTATACTTTTTTTTGCTCGCTGCTAATTCAACGGAATTCATCTATTTTGAATGAAAATTTGCCTTTTTTTCTCTTGTTAGAACAATAGCAAGATCAAATCATGTTAAACGCTGAAATTAAAAAAACTTTTTTTTCTTCGTCTAAATAGAGAAAAATAAACCGTATCGTTTTAAATTGAGAAAAATCTTGATTATTTTATCCATGGAATCACAACGCGGCAAAAAAGAGAGAAAAAGTGCACATTTCAATTCATTGACGGTCTTGCTAAATCTGTTCCATCCAATGCAACATGCATTCATATCCAATCGCTTGAATTTTGCCCGATGAATACGCGACTTGACTCAATGAAACAGTTTGATTATAAGGAATGGGAGTGAGATGGAGAAAAAGAAACGAAAATAATGGAATTCTATTCTATATAAGTCGAAGTATGTGCATTGAATGCGCTATGCTCATTGGCTCTCTGCACAACCGCTCTTCGGAAGACGCATACAAAATGCTTGTGTATGTTGTGAAAATGTCCTGAAAGAGTCAAAAGCAGTGACCAGACAATGAGCAATGAAATAGTGAAGAGAAAAGAAGCAGCAGCAACAACAACAACAAAACGAACGTACAGCAGCAGCAGCGGCGGTGGCGGCAGAAGGAATAGAAAAGGTACTGACAGTGTGTTTACAGACACAAACTACAAAATCGTTTGTTTTATCGAGAGTTGTCGCCTTTCGAAATTGCACCCAATCGTAAACTACAAAACTATTTGAACGTGAAACGCAACGCGTCAAATAAATAACTCGTCCCAATGTTTTCCTTTTTATTTTATTAGCAGCAGAGCAAGAGCACTGAATCCTTTTTTTGGGTATTGTACGGTAGTTGTAATCCTGACAAATGTTACGAAATGATATGACAGTATGATGTGGCATGTGTGTATGTGGTGTTTAGGAACCAGCGAGCAACGAACAGCGCGCATAATTAAAACCTAACGAGCGAATGCGTTTTATGTTTATGTTGTTTTGAAAATGGAAATGTTATTTTGTTTGGGGTTGTATTGTTATTGTCATAATACACACAAACCGTCTAACGAAGATAAACGCGTTGGAATATTCCTATTCCATCCTAATGGAACGCGCACATTTCTGTCGAAACATGCGAACAACTCTGGCAAAATACTCAACAACGATAATAACAACAACAACAACAACAATGATGACCGTCAATCTTTTTTTATGTGTAATCTATGGTCGCCGTCGTTGATATCGTCTATTTTTCGTCTTCTAAACTAACTACTGCTACATTTCGAAAGAATTTCAAATGCGATGAGTTTTTTGAGTGATAAATTGCTTTGGCTGTCAACACATTCTCTCTCTCTCTCTCTCTCTCTCTCTCTCTCTCTCTCTCTCTCTCT